TATTATAATGGAGTACGCAGAAGGAGGAGATTTATTGTAAAAGATTTAGAGGTTTGTAAAAAAGTAGTAAATGATTCCTGAATAAGAAATATGGCAAGTTGCAATTTAAGTTTTATAGGGATTAAGAGCATTACATCATAAAAAAATACTGCATCGAGATTTGAAATGTGCAAATATATTCCTATATGAAAATGACTAAGTCAAGTTAGGAGACTTCAATGTTTCCAAATTAGCCAAAAATGGTTTAGTCTATACTCAAACTGGCACACCTTATTATGCAAGTCCAGAAGTTTGGTAAGATAAACCATATGATCACAAAGCTGATATTTGGTCCTTAGGGTGTGTGATTTATGAGGCCTGTGCTCTTAAACCGTATTTATGATAGTATTATTAGATTAGACCATTCAGAGCTAAAGATATGGATGGACTTTATAAATCTGTTCTAAGAGGTTAATATTAACCTATTCCAGTAATATATTCTTAAGAATTGGTTCAATTAATTAAAACTATGATGCAAGTACATCCTCAAAATAGACCAGATTGTGGTATTGAATTTAAAAATTAAATGTTAGATAAGTTACTCTAATTTTAGTATGTATAGAAGAAGGCCAAATTATATGGGATTACTTTGATTTCAGAGGATATAGAGGATGATTTATTGAAGACAATTAAGTGGCCAATCACTAGAAAAGGATTATAAACAAATAAGTCAGAACTTATTAATCTCAATTTTCAATTACCTGGTAGCAATTATTTGAATCAACATAATTCAAATCACATAAGGAGAAATTAATAATCTAATAGAATCAAATCTTAAGATACAAATGATTCCATATCTCTAAATTAACCTAATGAAGCTTTGCATCAATTAATGAAGCAAATCACTTAACTTGAATAGAAGGATATTGAAAAGAGTCCTAATTTGAATTAGAATTTAAATAAATCTACTTCAAAATAGACTATTCAAGATAATATCTTAGCTCAAGATAGAAGATTGAGAGTTTCAAATTCTACTCATGAAAAGCATGAGAAGTATGAATCAGTCTAACCGTAATAATTTGAATTATTATTAAAAGTAAATGTATCTCGAAGGATCGAATTGAACATCAAATTTAAATAAATTCTAATTATTATGCTAAAGATGTTATCTAATCCCTAAATAAATAACACTATTCATAGAAGTTACCAATCATCTCTGGAACTTAAAGATAGGATGAGGATTAGTATATCTTAAGAAAGAATTCTTCTAATGAAAGAAACCCAAGTAATCATATAAAAAGATCAAAACATGATTAATTGAAAAAGGATTTATCAATGTAGCCTAGTGCAGAAAGACCTACTGTATTAATGAAGATAATTGAAGAACATCAATAACTACCTAAAATTAAAAAAAAGTAGTGAGTTTATAATTAAATAATCACACTATATATAATTTTCCATTTAATATTAATATTTTTTCAGAAATACTTAAAAATTTATGCATTCCATCCATCAACAATGACACCTAATCCATTATTCCTCATATCATCTCCACTTCTTACATAAGTTTATCCACTCATTAATTCAGTTATAGTTTATTATCCACTTGAAGCATCACTTAATTTAACAAGTCCATATCCAGATCCTTCAGAAAAATTAATAATGACAACTATTTTATCTGATGAACTAGTCCACTATTAAATAATTTCAATTTTATTACTCTAAAAGCAAAGAATTTCCAATATTAATCTCCAGTAACATTTAATTATGTCCAATTACCTGATTTGAATGAATCTCTTTTTAAAATTGCCAATATCTTTCCATAAAACTACTTAACATAAGTTGAACCATTTTCTTTATAACTTCTTCTTAAATGTACATCTAATTTATTAGATAACCCTTCTAATTAACCATGATTAATAAATCTAGCTCCAGGAAGAGAGTAACTCATTAATGCAGCAACACAGGAAATATAATCTTTACCACTAAACTTTATAATAGCTCTGGGTTCATCATGATTTTCAACAAAATGATTTGAATGTGATGCATACTAATCCTTTAATATAAATATATACATTGAAATCCAAATTAGATAATATAGGTCTAACCTTTCCAACATCCAATGTAGCTTATTGATCCAATAACCATTTTTCATAAACATAATCAAATCCTAAATTTATTAAATCCTATTCCTTGCTCCAATAAACTTCAGCCAAAAATATAACATTTGGATATTATTATTTTGTTTCTTTGATAGCTTCAGACCAAAATTCTGTTGATGGTCTTTTATAACCCCAAGCATCTAATTAAGGTTTCCACTTATTGTAAAAAAGATCATTCAATATGACCATTGCCATATCACATCTCATACCATCTGACATAGAAGCTATCTTCTTCACTACAGATTTAAGATAGTTTCTAGTATCTGGGTTCCAATAATTCCATTAAGCAGTGTCTTTCCAAAATCCATCCCATTGATCACCACCGTAGCTAACTCCATCAGGTAAGTAATATTCAGAGTCATAGGGTGTAGGAGTATTAGGAGGAGCTCTAATATAATAATCAATATTTGATGTTCTATATGGACTATCAATTGCAGAATGATTAGGAACAAAATCAAGCATGAGCTTTAATCCCATATCATTAAGTTTTTATCTCAAATTTATAATGTCTTAGTCTGTACCAAGTTCTGAATTACAGACAAATTCGGTGATGGCGTAAGGTGAACCAATGACATCATCAATAGTAAAGTCAGGTAAATTAGATTTATAGTCATTTGCATGTGCTCTATCAAAGTCCAATCCATATTATCCAAGTTACCAAATGCCTAAATTAATAATAGAACTCACCCATCAGCCAAACATAATCAACTCCAATGTCTTTCAGATTTTGAAATTCTTCCATTGGTATATCATTTAATTTTGAAATTTTTCTTCCATATTTATTAGTTAATTCATAGAGCCAAGGTCTCAATGATAATTCATAAATTGTAGGATTGTATGCATTGACCAAAAAATTCATTAATAAAAGTCCTATGACGAATTTATACATTATATTAATAAATAAAATCTATTATTATAATGATTATGAATAAATTGTTAAATGGAAGAAACATAATATTCTTAATTTTATTATAGATATTCAATTAATTTATTTATATGTTCTATATAAATTAGATTATGTATTTTTATTACAAAAAACCAAATAATAAATCATAACATTAATATGTTTAAGTTAATATAGATAAATAGTGAAATATGATAATGATTTTCATTATTAAATAATTTAATTAATTAATTAATATATACTATGGGTTATGAGATATATATAACATTTCTACTCAATCTCACATTGAGCCTTTACATAAATTATGTAGTAACTATCCCTTACATGGTATTATGCTATATTTACTTACATTTTAGGATGAAGAATTTCATATAGATCAAATGTAGCATTATTTAGACTCAGATTTTGCTTATTGGAATCCTAAATTGACAACTCCACCTATGCTTTATTTTCTAAATTACCCTTTTATTGTTTTACTATCTAAAATGGGATTTAGCATATTAACATCCTGTAGATTAATTAATACGTATAATTATATTAAATAATAGGTTTATATATCCAACTATTACATTTATGGTATTATCAAAATCTTTTTAAGATAAACAAAAGGCATTATTATTTTGTATTCTCCCAACCATTTATTTTTATAACTTTTTATTCTATACAGATACTTTATCAATTACGTTATTATCTTTATCTTTTCAATTTTTGTAGTCAAAGTATTATTTTATTTCTTCAATTGTAAATTTATGATATTTACTTATAGTTTTCATTGTGCTCTGTGATGAGTCGATAAACTAATATATTATGGATTATTTACATTTGTATTAAAGATTATTTAGATTAAAATTAAACTAAGTTATAATTTAAAGATCCTAGATTATGTAATATTATTAATTATTAAACATAGCTATTTTATTTCATATTAATGCATTGTTCAATATGATTATTAGAGATGTTAAGATTATAGTGAGAAACTACAAATATCATATATTCATATTTATACTATTTATTGGATTCCTATATACAAATGGTGGAGTTGTGTTAGGAGATAGAGATAATCATTAATTAGTATTTCATGCTGCTTAAATCATGTACTTTTTACCAGTTTTATTTATTTATTTTCCAATAAACTGGGATACTCTATTATAATATACTTAATTATCCATTAAGAGATTACTTTTATCTAGAAATGCTAAATTTACATATTTAATAATACTATTAATATGTTTAGAGATTGTTCATAATTGGACTCATATTCATCCATTTATTTTAAGTGATAATCGCCATTATGTGTTTTACATTTGGAGAAAGATTCTGTCTAAAGATGTTTATCGTTATGGTTTATGCTTTATATATGCATTAATATTTGTGATTCTAAGCAGAATCTTAATCAGTAAATTAATAATAATAATTTTTTAGTTCGCAAAGAATAAACGTTTTAATTAATTTTATTATTCATCTTTACAGCTTTTTCTCTTATATTTAGTCCTCTAATTGAACCAAGATATTTTAGTATACCATTATTGTTTTTTTATTATCATTGCTAATTTGCAGAATAAAGTTTAAAAAAATAACTCATAGTGTTTACATTAATAAATTGCATAATTATTTATGTATTTTGTGAAGTTAATTTTTCTTGTGATTTTCCATAATGTAGATTTATGTTTTGATTTTTTATTATTAATATATCTAATTAATTATTTTATTTATTTTATAAAAATATATCTATTAATACAAATCAAGTTATTAATTCTAGATTGTATAATTTTACAAATAATTTTGTCTTTTCTTAAATATCATTACTCTATTCATAAATTAAAATATTTACACATCAATATATCCTAAAAGTATTAATTTTAACAAACATATTAAAAAGATAAACTCACATTTATTAAAGGAGACTCTTATTTCATCTTAGATTTATTAAGATTTCTCCGAATGCTATAAAATATTCAACTACAATTAGAGTGTAAATGTATCCTTTTTAATCCAATTAAATACATCTTCTATAGATATTAAGAATAATCAATAAGCATTTGATCATTTTTTGTTTAGAGAATTTATTACAATCTTGATGTAACTTAATTGAAGAGAGTTACAAAGTATTTTTCTTTTAAATTAATATAATTGTAATGTTCATTTGAAAGATTAAGAGCCAATAATAAAAGTTTCATTTAGAAATAAATTATCTTATTTATGAATATTTTTTTCCATAAGAAATCATTATTTATATGTTTTTGTTTAGCAATAAAACCATTGACAGATGAAACCATTCTAATTTACTTTTTTTTAATAATGTGCTTAATATTTCTAAATGTATTCTAAGAATTTAACCAATTCTTTATCACATTATTATCTCTGAATCTATTCAAAAATATCTTAAATTCAATTCATTATGATTTAAGCATCTGTTAAATCTAAGTCTAATTCTGTAAATATGGTTAATTAGAGTTAAACTTTATTATTAAGAAAATTGATAGAGAAATCAAATTCACTTTTTTACTTAAAGAACTTCTATATTTCAATTAAGAATTCTTCTAAGATATCAAGTGATTAATCATTTAAATATGCTAATCCTTATTTAAAATAATTATAATAGTTTTCTAAACTTTCTCCTTAATAAAAGAATTCTATAATTAATTTTAATAATGTATCACAACAATGTGATGATGTTAACTATTTTATTGATATCTTTTTTATACTTTCAAATTTCTATTTTTCAGTTAGAATTTTAACTACAATAGGCGAAAACTATAATAACCTATCAATATTAACTCTTAAGATTTATACAAATATAAAAATGATTTATGCAAACTTAATGTATTCTTTTTTGAAATCAGTAATATTTTTAATAGAATCCAATAGTAGTCCTATAAATTAATCTTTTTCTAAAATTTTAGTTTAATAAATAAGATTTGTTAATAAATAGGGAGAGTTGATACCAATTTAAGGTTGCTATTCTATATATTAGTCAATCAATTCAATATATCATCTTCTCTTTCTTCATCAGGATGTTCGACCGTACTTTTATAAAAGAGATCTGTATTAAGTTATAGAATAGCATAAGTATAAGTAAATAAGTAATCAGAATGTTTAATATAATTATTTCCTTATGTTATTCAAAATATCTTATTTTAAATAATTTTTAGACTCTTTGAATCTTCTACTTTCTCCAAAAAGTAAAGAATTAGAAGTTAAATATCTTTTTCCTTTAACTAAAATCAATTTTGAATAATTATATGTATCTCCATATTTTTTAATAATTGGAACTCATTCTTTTATATGACATCCTAATATTTCAATCATCAATGTTTCATTAAATAGATTACAATATTTAAGAAATTAACAACTTATTCATGTTAACATAACTTTGATTGAATTTCTTGGTTCATTAGTAAAATACTATACAAATTACAATAATTTATTTGTTTATTATTAACTCTTTTTAATTAATCTAGCTTTAAATAATTAAACTTATAATTCATAAATTTATTTTTATAATTTTCCACCTTCATCACATGATAATTATTTCTTTAATACTGCTCAATTCAAATATCTTATATAAAAACTTCTTTAAATACATGTATCTAAATTTGATTCATATCGCATTTTATAAATATGAATTTTATTTTATCTTTACTACTAAGCAATTCCTATAAAATTTAACAAAAAAATGAGTATCTATTTCACATTGTTATTCCATATCTTTAATAGTCATTTTAGATAATCTATTAATATGATTTTATATTCCTTTTTAATAAAATTATCAAAATAATGTTCTATCTTCAAATAAATCATATCCTAATTTCTCTTGTAAATTCAGATTTAAACAAATAAAAATGCTTAATTTAAATAATTCTAAATCTACTATAATACTTAATTCCTTAAAACAAGTGATGTAGTTATCAAAAATTCTTCATTGCATGTCAAACACATTATTTTTAATCGTTAACTTAATGAATCCCTTACCATTTCTCTTATTAATAAATTTGGTACACTTGATTATATACATCTATTCATATTTAATAGACTAATAACAATTGATTCACTGAAGTTATATTTTATACAGCATCTATAATTTAATAGATTTATTTTTTCCAAACCATTATCTCAAGAAATTGTTTTGCTTCTAAATATGTAATTTTAGAATAAAAATTTATTAAAGCTATTGAAACCTACTCATCAGAATCTTCATACTTCAAAAGTCCATTTAAAATGCCATAAGTAAATATTTATCAAAATGACCATAATGCTAATTGATTTGTCTTTTTTAATCTAATATTCTAATTAAAATACTCTAAACTTCAAATAACACATTCTACATTTTAATTAATTTAATCAACAATACTTATCCATATACTCATTTACTATATTCAATAAATGTTGACTCTAAAATTTATTGTTTATCTTCTAATCATTTTTAATACTATCTCTTATTATTATTATCCAAAATAAATTAAATTATTCCTTCTTTAAATTTACTTTAGATAATTATAACATCATCCTTTAGACATTTCTTCAGGAAGAGTGCTTTATAGTAAGAATGCTTTTTGAATTTAAAATAAAAATTTAAAAAAACATAAACTTGAATTTAGACATAAATTTATAAATTACTTAAAAAAGTATTCTACCCTTTAAATAACAATAATTGAGTTTATTGAATTATTGTGTAATTTTTTAATTTTAATGTAATTATTAAGATGATTAATTCTAAACCTGAAAAGGATGCATAAATATTCAGAAATTAAGAATTAAATATTTTTTTATTCTTATAAAAAAATTCAAATTAAACTAAAAATTATTTAATTAAATGAGCTAATAAATATTTGTAAAATACTACATGAGTATAGCTCAAATTTAATTATTCAAAAATTAGTTTAGAAAAGGAATAGTTTATATTAATTTATGCTTAAAAAAATCCTTTAATTTCTAATAGGTTCGAAATGAATGTTAAAATACGAATTGCAGTAATAAGAAATTCAAAAAATATAATTTGAATATTAACAAATTCTTTAATCTATTAATCTTAGCAGAATCTTTTTTGTTCAAGATTTAAGCTTATTTAATAAAAAAATTTAGGTTGTTATTGATAAAAATAGAGTTGAAATTTCTATTAACATTAGTATTTAATACTATTATATTAAGTATTAGTATATAATCTATTAAATTATAGACTGATAAATTAATGGAGAACCATGAGGAACAAATTTGATTTTTTACCTATTTTTGATTTTCCACTAGTTAATTAATTAATTAACAAAATTCATTTTAATTGGTGGTATAAGCATGAATAAATTCTTAAGATTGAAATTTAATATTCTTTTTGTTTCTCTATTTTACTATATTATTATTCTAAAACTTATAATCTTGATTTTATTGATTCAATGATGATCAATTCATTTAATAAAATTTCAGGATTAATATTACATATTGAATTTATAATTCACTGAAATTCACTGATTGTAGTGAATGTAAAATTTGAGTAGTAGTAATCTGAGATGTCGATAATTGTATAATTTAGTATCAAAATATTACATCAGGACTCTTTTATTTAACAAAAGAAATTTCATTAAATACATTATCATTAAATCTTTTTTTTACAACTTCATCTGATTATGATTGACATGAATATCAAGCCAGAAAAGAAACAAAAGTATAAATCTGTGAATTCAGAGGAAAGATCGAAAATTATTAACTATTTTATTGAAGGTTCATTATCAGCCTCTTAAGTATATATATAATGAATATTATTAGATAGCTTAAATCACAGGGCATAACCTTTCTACAATAAAAGCTATTTTTCGAATTTATAGAAATGAAGGAAGAATAAATAAAAAAGAAAAAAGAGACCGAGAGCTCCATATCTAAAAAAATGTAGCAGTTTTTATTGTTGATGACAAGTACTTACTATATTCATTATTATTTAGAACAAGATATTTGAAGTTTATTTCAAAATAACATATGAAGCAAGAAGTAATTTTAAGAAGTCATGATAAATTTTGTGAATCCTAAAGGGATATAGTCAATGAAACCTTATAGAAGTCAGCTAATGAAGTAAGAAACAATTTGAACAGTTTTTAATCGAAAAGGAATTTTGACTAAGCCTTATAAAGAATATTAACAAATGGGAAAAAGGAAGATGATTTTATCAATATATCCTCAAATAATAATATGTAAGTAGATGCCAATACTAAAGTTAACGTGTCGACAATTACAAATTTATTAAAAAATAAAGAAGACTTACCTTCTAGAAAAGCAGCTTAACTAACACCTTAAAAGATTTGGTTTAATTAAGATCATCAAATAACTGATCTCAAACGAATTTTTGAGTTTTAAGTATAGGAATATCTAGGAAAATCTCATTCTGATAATTTAAAATGATTTTAAATTTTATTCAGAATTAAAATCTATAAATATTTGTAAAATAATCTCCTATTCTAAGTAATATTATTTATTATTCAATTTTTTATATCGAATACTATTTACACTAAACTATTATATTCAATTCTATATTAATGAACTAATTAAACTTTTTAACTCTATAGATCATAAATTAATTTGATATAGATCATCATTATTAAATAAATTTTTACATAATATTAATATTACCAAAAAATGATTATAATTGATCAAAATTCAATTTGTTTTTTAATTTAAATACTCAATAATTTATTCATCTATTTCATCCTTATTTCTATGATGTTCTATGAATTTCGTCCTAAAACATATGAAGATTTGATCCCTTCTATTTTTAAATTAATAACCTACATACTAATAATTTAATAAAAGTTAATTTATATATTAAATTGTTATTTTTCATAGATTCCTAAATATTATAATTGAGAATTTCATTATTTGTTTCAAATTTAAAAGAAATTATTGTCTCTTTCTATTATTTTTTAAGATTTAAGAATCTTCTAATACTTGGCAATAACTCTAATTCTAATTTATCTTAAGCTTTGACACATGTATTTAGGAATTTAATAATCATTGACTAATTCATAAATTATATGTGAATGTGACTTTATGAAAATTAATTTCAATTCTTTAAAAGATTTTCATGAATTTTATTACAACATAAAAATACTCCATTACACAGACATAAAATAAACTAGGATAATTGATAAATAAAGATATATTTATAAATCTAGTATATTATTAGAGTTTAGTTTTATAAATAAGTTAAAATTGTTTAAGGTTATCTAATTCTTATCTTAAAGATTTAAAGATTTTATCAATCCTGTACAGAATTAATGAGTTTTTATACTAGTAAATGGTCTTTAGTCCTTATTGTCTGTAATAGCAGATAAGACAATTAAACTTTCTATTATTAAATATTTAGTAAATGCAGATCCTCTCAATCCAGAATAGAAACTTTTAATAGATCACATAGTATTCTATTCTAAAAGAACTGAGGTACTTTCTGATGTTATAAATACTATTTTCTAATTCATATAGTTTAGGATAATAGTTATTCATTTTATAAATATGTTGGAGAATTGAGTCTTTATCAATTTATTTTTCTATAAGATTGATCATAATTAAAAGTTAATGTACTTATGTGTATAATATTTTTTGTATTTATCATTTTTCTACTTTAAGTTCTCCAGAATTGATTTTTCCGATAATTGCCTTAACTGTTTAACCATCAACTGTAGCTCCCAAGGATTATGCAGTTCCTAATACTTATTTAACAGTTCCAGTGAATGATTTGGCTAATGACTTTTCTTCAATAGCTCTGGCAACTTTAATGACTTATTCAAGTGTCAAATTTCCATTATGTTTAACATTCTTGGTCTTCTTTCTATCTCTTTCATATCCCTTTAATATATAAATTTAATGTTTACTCCAATTTCTTTAATAAGTAATGCACTTGATGTTGGAATGACTGTGACATCAGCATTTCTGTTTTAACATCTCAAATTAACCATAACTCTGATACCCTTCCATTTACCACTTTCAGCAATAATCTTATCACCAACTTATTTTGGATTCTTTTTGATAAGCAATAATAATTACAAGACCAAGAGGTCCTAACTTGGGAGCAAGAGTGGAAGCAGGACCACCTTCTCCTCCAAAGACTTTAATGTTGATTAATCTAACTTCATTTGGGTCGACTTTGGGAGGCATTAAAAAAGATTTAAATTTTTTTAATTCTTTATTAAATCTCAATATAAAACACAAGAATCAAGCATTCTTTCTGAAGTTTGCACTAATAATTGATGGAGGCCAGAATTCAACTCTATTTGTTTATGTTCCTCCAAACTTCTCTTCAATTTATTCTTTATTCACAGATTAAAATAGTTATTTTACCTAAATAAATTAATAATATAAATACATCTCCTTTAACAAATATAATTTTTTATTAAGTTATCTCTTCCAAGAATAATTTAGCCATATTCCATGTCACATTTAACATCATAGTTGTATTAAAAATAAACATTCTATACAATCTAGATCTATAGTTATTTTGTAAATAGGACATCACTTACTTTAAGGCCTAGGAAAATTAATAATTAATTAGATATACATTAATTTAAAGTCCAATCATTCCTTTATAATCGAGATCAATTAAGATTACCCAATTTTCAACTTTACCTGGTACCATCATATCATTAACAACTACTTACAAAAAGTATGTCAATCCTCTTAAATATTATTCAAGACTCATTTCATTAAAATTAACTTTATATGCATTCAATACAATAATAGGTCTATAAGAATGATCTCTTCCTTAAATATATATAATTCCAGCTTTCTATTTATTATTATAGTAAAAAATACCAGAAATTATTCAACTTATTAATCGTAATTAATTGGTAAGGTTTTTACCCATTCTTCATATTATTACATAGTTTAAACTGTTTAATCCTTCTTAAAATTATTAGCTTATAAGAATCTTAAAATTTATGGTCTTGTCCAAATAGGATTTTGAAAAGGACCTGCTTCTTCAAGAAATTTATTAATTGCTGCATTATCTTATTCATCTAGTTCTCCTTCAAATAATCTTCTTATTGTATATTTTCCAATTTTAGTCTTTTTCTCATCTGCAGTTGGTTCATAATTAAGAATTTCTTGATTTGGTTTAATTAAAGGATATGATTGATCCATAATATTATTAATAATTATTTATTCATTAAAAATCACTCTAAGAATATCATTCAAATATTTGATAATTGAATGAGTACTTGATATTCAATCCTAAAATCAAGAAATTATATTATAAATAAATTAATATCAGACTTTTTATTGTCTTGGAACATTCCTTATAAGAAGTTATTATTATTAATTGGAATATCTACTACTATTTTTCTATTTTCCATAAAAATATAACTATTATGTATTATGGAGTAATTCCATTAATTTATCTCTGTTAGAATGCTTTTTGAGTAAATCTTATGCTTTTTTTCCTTTTAATGATTATAAATCTTTTTAAGCCTTATTTAATAAACAATATAAATATACTCCATTTTCAATTAAGAATTTGATTATTTAATAGTTGATGTCAGCTTCTTTCTAATTCAATTCCATTCTTATTGAACATAACTACATTAAAAGATTGAATCCATGAGTTTTATCGACAATCCAATTTATGTCTGCTCCATAATGAAGTAAGAGTTCAGCCATTTTGAAACAAATTTTTCGATTTTCAAAAACATTTTTTTCCTTTTGAAATATATAATAGTATGTAAAAGTACTTCTTCTAATCGTGCAAAGCACATTATAAAAGCAGTTTAATTAAATGTATTAGGTTTGTTAACTTCAGCTCCAGCATCAAGTAGTATTTTTAGAATTTCATAATTTCCTGTCATTGCTGCAATTGATAATGGAGTTTATCCTGAATCCATACTTGCTAAATCAACATCAACTTATGTATTAGAAAGCAACAATTTCACTATCTCAAGTCTTCCCAAATAACATGCACAAATCAAAGGTGATATTTTTTAATCTACTTCAATCTCATTAAATGATTCCAAGAAATTAATATTTGCTATTTGAAACTCAAATTATTATTACCTTTATTTATACCCAATTCTTTAAGAGTATCATAATCATTTTAATGGATCAGATGTAGAATTAATTACTAATTAATATTTAAAACATACTTGTTCTGATAAGGTTTTTTCTTCTGCTTAAAACATTAATTACTTAAAAATATATAAAAAAATTAATGATTCAAATTATCATATTATTATAGATATAAAATTCTTGTATTTTTAATCTTAAATCAAATATGAAATAGAGAGTAAAGGATTAATCAATATTAATATTATATACTTCATAAAATTTCATATTAATTTAAATTATAGTCTTTGAATATTGTTTATATAAATGTTAATTAATTTGAAAATAGATTTAATTATCAATAATTTATCATCTATTTTAATATATATATATATTTCAGCAATTCATTATTATTAAATATCATTTTTAACTTTTTATAGATTATGAGCATCTATTTCAGGATATTGATATGGATTATGTAATTTCAATCCTCTTTAATCTAATTCATTTACAATATCATTAGTTGTTAATTAAAGTTTTTCATCAGGATCTTTTTCTTTTTTTCTAATTCTATCTTAGATTAATTTTTAAACCATGGAATCTGTCATTTCAATCATCCATTTATCAGTTAGATGAGCTTTAATTTAAGAGCACTCAAACCTATTAATTTATAGCAATTTTAATCATTTGTCTAAAATCCACTGGCTTCTAAAATTTCTTATATCAAAAATTCAGACATATTTGGTTTTTTAGATAATGTTTAATAAATTAGATTATNAACATAACTACATTAAAAGATTGAATCCATGAGTTTTATCGACAATCCAATTTATGTCTGCTCCATAATGAAGTAAGAGTTCAGCCATTTTGAAACAAATTTTTCGATTTTCAAAAACATTTTTTTCCTTTTGAAATATATAATAGTATGTAAAAGTACTTCTTCTAATCGTGCAAAGCACATTATAAAAGCAGTTTAATTAAATGTATTAGGTTTGTTAACTTCAGCTCCAGCATCAAGTAGTATTTTTAGAATTTCATAATTTCCTGTCATTGCTGCAATTGATAATGGAGTTTATCCTGAATCCATACTTGCTAAATCAACATCAACTTATGTATTAGAAAGCAACAATTTCACTATCTCAAGTCTTCCCAAATAACATGCACAAATCAAAGGTGATATTTTTTAATCTACTTCAATCTCATTAAATGATTCCAAGAAATTAATATTTGCTATTTGAAACTCAAATTATTATTACCTTTATTTATACCCAATTCTTTAAGAGTATCATAATCATTTTAATGGATCAGATGTAGAATTAATTACTAATTAATATTTAAAACATACTTGTTCTGATAAGGTTTTTTCTTCTGCTTAAAACATTAATTACTTAAAAATATATAAAAAAATTAATGATTCAAATTATCATATTATTATAGATATAAAATTCTTGTATTTTTAATCTTAAATCAAATATGAAATAGAGAGTAAAGGATTAATCAATATTAATATTATATACTTCATAAAATTTCATATTAATTTAAATTATAGTCTTTGAATATTGTTTATATAAATGTTAATTAATTTGAAAATAGATTTAATTATCAATAATTTATCATCTATTTTAATATATATATATATTTCAGCAATTCATTATTATTAAATATCATTTTTAACTTTTTATAGATTATGAGCATCTATTTCAGGATATTGATATGGATTATGTAATTTCAATCCTCTTTAATCTAATTCATTTACAATATCATTAGTTGTTAATTAAAGTTTTTCATCAGGATCTTTTTCTTTTTTTCTAATTCTATCTTAGATTAATTTTTAAACCATGGAATCTGTCATTTCAATCATCCATTTATCAGTTAGATGAGCTTTAATTTAAGAGCACTCAAACCTATTAATTTATAGCAATTTTAATCATTTGTCTAAAATCCACTGGCTTCTAAAATTTCTTATATCAAAAATTCAGACATATTTGGTTTTTTAGATAATGTTTAATAAATTAGATTATCTATGGATCCAGTAAATTGTGTTTTCTTAGATGGTGGTATATCTGATTATTATTAATTCATATAATAATATAATGGAATTTTAAGAAATATTAGATGGTTTTCATTTGATATGCAATGAATTATAGGGTTCTTAGAATTATAAAAATATCATGGAATTGTATAACAGATCTGCAAATTTGTAAGATCTATATGAAAATGGTTTAATAATAGAGGGAACATAATATGAATTTGATTTGGTTGAACATATAGATGTAATATTGTAAAATTGAATATCTAGACTACAAAATTAGCATTAGATAGATTTATATAGAATGTTTTAGATTCAGATGCTGTAGTATAAGGACATAGAAAGATAACAAGTGCTTTTGCTTCTTTAAAAAAACGATTGATTTAAAAGGAAGAGTAATAAAAAGTAGTGGTAATGACAAATTCTTAGGTTATTGCACCTATTACAAATTAATAATAATAAACAAATAATAGAGCTAAATTATTTGACACGTAATTAAGTAGTGAAAATCTAGATGATGAATTATAAGAGGAAATCTTTAATATAACAAAGAGAATGAAAGGAATGGCAGTTAATATTTCAGAATAATTAAAATTTGATAATAAAGTTATTGATAAAATATTGCATAAATAAGATGGAAATAAAACTAAGTTAAAATTTGAAGAAAATAAATTAACTAATTTTATGAAATCCAAAAGTTTAAGTTGTTCATCACTATTTTTAATGCTTACTACTTCTATTTTTTTGTTTATCTTTGCCATAATTTTCATTAGAATTTCATGAATGTATATAAATCATTTAATTATATCTAATAATAAACTTATATCATAAAAATCTAAGATTAATTTTTATTTGCTTTAAAATTAATTTAACGGAATGAATAAAGAAAATGTTTGTTAAGCCTTTAGGACAGTTAAAGTTAGTAATCGTGAACTAGAAACCTTAGTTAATTCAAGAGTTAATTAATTGTAGAGATAACTATAAGAAAAAGAATAAGAAATTGCTTAATTATAATAATGTAATCCACCTGCACATTCTCGTTTAATGGAAATTAAAGTTGATGCCATTTAAACAGAGAATTATTAATTAAAAAATTAAGTTAATCATTATGAATCTATGATTAAAACACTCTAGAATAAATGCAATACATATTAAAATCAATTAGAAACTATGACAAATTTACTCTAAGAAACTTAAAACACATTAGAATTTGAGAGATAAGCCAAATAGGCTTTAGAACTTTAATAATCAAATATATAACTTGATGCAGAATCAGAAAAATCTGTTATTAAAACATAAATTGATTTATTGAGAAAAGAGAAATATCAATATTAATCTTAATTTTAAGAAATTGAATTACAATTAAAATAATAATAATTAGCTAATATGGAACTTACCTAAGAATTAAGCACACTTAGTAATTCATTTTCATAAATATAATTATCATATTCAAAATTAGAAGAAAAAGCTTATGAATTGGAATCTAAGAATGATATTTTAATTTCTTAATTAGATGTCTATAAAACTTAAAATGAATAAATGAAATCTTAATTATAATAATAGAATCCTAAGAATATAGATAAATAATTTTAATAAAATGATAGAATTGCAGAACTTGAAGGTAAGTTAAGATTATCTTATGTAAATACTTCATAATTTTAATAATTATTGAATGAGAAATAAGATTATATAAAGAAATTAGAAAAATAATTATAAAGATAATAAAATTTAAATGAGAATAATAATATCTTATAAGATTAATTAGAGAAATCTTAATTTAATTTAGAAGAAATGTAATTTGAAAATTAAAAAATTGCAAAGTATTAACAATAATAAATAGAATAATTAAAGAGACAATTAGAATAACAAAGTAATAATAATGAAGAATTAATTGAAACAAAATAATAATTATAAAAAATAAAATCTGAATATGAAAATTATAAATCTATTAATGAAAGTAAATTAAATGATGTAATATATAATTTTATTTATAATAGATTAATTCAAAATCAATGATAGATTAATAAAATTAATGGAATTTTGAAAAATCAAAATTAATGGATTAAATATAACATTTATCAAATTAAGTTGAAGTATAATAAAATTAAACTTATGATTAATTAAGAATATAAATTGAAAGTTAAATGGCATTAAAATATGCAGCTGAAAAAGTTTAATTAGAAAATTAATTATGGGCAGTTTAAGAATAATTGGATGGAATATAAAATTCTATTGAATTATATGTTACTAAAATCAGTTAATTGAATATTGAAAATGATTAATTAAGAGAATAATTAAATGAAAATTAGAATAATTCAAAACAAATATTGATTTTAGAAACACAAATTCGTAACTTTTGTGTTGAGATAGAAAAATTAAAGAGTATTATATTATAAAAGAGTGATCAAATAGAATTCTTAAATTAAAAGAAAATTTAGACAGAATAATTGGTTAATTATGTATAAGATTTAGAAAGAAAAGTTAATCATTTAAGTTAAGACAACTAAAGATTAAACAACATAATAATTTAAAGATGTAAAAATTCTTGGTGAATAAACAATTATTATTTTACTATAAAATATAAACTATATTTAATTTTTATACTTTTTTTTAAATAAAATAATTATTGTAAAGTATAATTTAAAAATAAACAATAAAATAGAAAATCTTAAAAACTATATTTATATTATCATAATTATAATCAATCAATGTTATCTTTTCTTAAATCTTAAGAAATATTTAGGCAATGATTTTGTAGATTTTTTAGATTAAATATTATAGTTTTTTTCAACGAAATTAAAGTTAAACTCTTGTAAAGTTTATGCCACTTACACAGTCTAAATTTAGATAGTCTTATATTCAGATGAGTGCCTAATTCTATTGGTTTTGACTTATGTAATTACAAATTTATGTTACTAAACTTATGGAGTAGGGATTTTATCTTAAGTTCTATAAAGTGACATGGTTCTTAATTCAGTTCTACATCTAGAATCATTTAATGGACTATTTAATTTGCTTGAAGGATTCTATGGAGCAGATAAGTTAGACTGAGTTAAATTAATAATGACTTTTCTAGCATCAGCTAATGAATTAGATTAAGTTTTTCTTAATAATTATTTGATTTCTTTATCATAATCAATTTCATGTAGTGAATCTTCAGTAAATTCCATATTCAATAATGTTTCTACTGCATTTTTTTCTTTTTAGTTATAATAATTAAACATAATTATTTAATAATAAATCATGATCCAACCTTTTTAATCTGCTCTTATATTTACTCTGGTGTTATTAATGGAATATATGCATCAATTTTAGTATGTTGAGGTAATCGTGACTATAATTATAATATAAAATAAATACCCTCTATTCCATTAAATCAACATTAAAGAATTTCTTAATAATAGCCCCAATCTTTCTAGCTTCTTATTTATAATTTACTAAATCCTTATCATTTCTTTTAATATAACTTTGTAATGAATATAACTAATATTAATATATAAATTAATACTTGAACTTTAGATAATTTAATTTTCTCACAATTTTTCAAAGCAATCATTAATTCATTGATTTTTATTAATCCAGTATTATCTTTATCTTATCTTTTAAAATGTTCAAGTAAAAACACTTCCATTTTACTTCTTTAAGCTTCTAATAAACCTTTGACTAAATTTTCAAATATAGTTTCTTCTAATACTTTATCACTAGTTTAATATTCCACATCTTTTTATCCAATTATTTCCATTATTTATTTAATTTCATCTTCAGTAAAGAATTATTACTAAATGATAATAATATAAATTGTACTTCTTCTAAAATTTATTAAAAAACATTTGAATTAACAGAATGAATTTCATCTTCATCTTTAAGTTTACATTATTCTACTATTTTTTTATATACATTTCTAAGATCAGTAGATAACATCCATTATGCTTCAAATCTACTTTCTTCTTCTTTTTCTCTTAATTCTTTAAGTGCTTAATTTTAACAATAGATTGAATGTAATATTTCAATTCCAAAAGATGAAATGTCTTTAAATTATAGAATTCCTGTTCTTGAAACATCTAATCTATTAAGTGTATCCTCTAATTAATGTTTTCCTAGATGTAAACCCATTAATAAAAATAATTAACCACCTTCTTCATAAGATATTACTCCCATATCATCTTTATCAATTTATCTAAAACATTAATATAAGAGTTCTGTTAACATTTTAATTTCTCTAATTTTTTCTTCTTCTGTTATTGTAAATTAATTTACTAATTCTTAATCATGTTCTAATAATTCTTGTTAAATGACTAAATTTTCCTTTTCTTATTCTGGTTATTTTTCATATAATACTTCATCCATTCTTTTATTAATAATTCTTGTTTATTCAAATTCTGTTCCTAAAAACATTATTCTACATGTTCTATCTTTACGTGCTAATATAGTTTCAATCCATTTCTTAAATTTAAAATTAATTTATTTACTTCCATTTATGATATTCGAATAGTTCGATTAACTAAATGTATAAGTGAATCATTTTCAAATCTAAATGACATAGTTTTTTCAGATGGATCTGTCAAATCTGGAATATAGAAATACACTTTAACTGTTGCAACAGGTATTGGATTTGATGGTGTTGGTAATGAGAAAACTGTCATAAAACTATTTATAAATAGAATAATTTACGTATGTCCTGATGTTGTTTCTTCTATATAACTTGTATAATATAAATATTTCTTTGTCCATTGACTAACGAAATTGTTGATTAAGTGTATACTTCTTTCTAATAAATCTGTCATAAAATGTTATTAATTAATTAATTATTTGCAAAAACAAATTAAATCAATTCAGGAATAGAGATCATTGATTTACACTATTTCTACTAGACTTTTTGGCATGCTAATTTATATTATTTATAAATACAATTCATCCATATTTTTATACAATTTGAACATTTTAAGTTATACCAATATATCTAAATCAGCAGATAATTTTAATTTTTATTAACTCATAATCTTTAATATTTTTGATTCCATTTTAAGTTTAATTTATGATTATTAAGCTTAAAATGCTAGAATCGGAAACATCATTTTATTTTCATTCTGATTATTCTAATTTCTTTATACTAAATTTTTTAAAGCTGCAACTTTAATAAATAGTTCTTATAATCTTTTCTTTTTGTCCTTAATTACATTCTTCTAACTTATCTATATTTAAATATATTAATATTATACCAATTACTCTTTGAACATATCAGTTTCATTCCTTCTCATTCTATGTTTACAATATACATCAGAAATCACTCGTTTACCTTCCTTTCTTAACACCTTTGAAGCGATCATAACATTTAAAGCATCATAAACTCTTCTTTTTATATTTTATTCATCTTTAGGCTTTTAACTCAATTTTAATTCATACATTATCTAATTCAACTATTTATCCATCAGAACCTAAATCTTATATCAATCTTTATGCAACATCCTTATAAGATGTGGATTTCAATTCCAATACAATATCTCTCACTTTTACACTCAAATTACGTAGTCCTTTAATAATATATAATTATATACCTTTTTAACTTCGTTAAGGTGTCTAATCTTAATAAAATGCTAAATTTATAGATTTTTTTTCTATCTTCTCAGAATAATATCTCCTTGTTTATTCACTTCTACGTTTCTGTGGAGTCATTTATGTAGTATTTATTTAAACAATTTAAAATCCCTATTACTTATTTTATGATTATTTGATCACAACTTATTTTAATTGTGGAGATTGATTATTTGATGTTTAAAGATCAAACATTTTTTATAATGGTTATTGATCAAAAGGAAAAATATCATCTGCATGCTGTATGGGTTATGCAATATAATAATCTTGTAAGACCATATTATTAGGACTAAGGTGAGCACGAAATAAAATAGGACTGTAAGGTTGAAATAGAATCATATTCGATTAACGATGGTTTAAAGGAGATGATTCCATTTCAGAATGAAAATCATTTGGAGTCTAATCAGTCATTATATTAATTAATTAAAATTTTCATTCATTTAATTATATTTTTGCGCATTTTGTAATTCACATTCAATTTATGATCTCTATATATATAAATAAATAATAATAATTACTTATTCAAAGAGTTAATCATATATATTCAATTTATTAATGAATTCTTCAATCTTATTTTACTTAATCAACAAATTTTCCTTTAATTATTTAAAATAATCTTTTGAATTAACAAATTTTTAATCTAAAGAATTCAACAAACCCATATCCTTAATTACTATTAAATATTACTTATTTACAAATTTCAACCATATCATCAATATGATTACGATGTGAGATGATTATTTCATCCTCTTCTTATAAAACTCTCTAATCCATTTCTAAAAATTAATTTATTAATGCTTTATTTTTCTATTGTATTTCAGAATCAACATCTTCAAGTAATAAATTATCTTAATAATCATCATCTCCAATATATCCTGCATTGATTTCTGATGGTAATATTGGATTTTAAAAAAAGTTATAAGTAGGAGGAAAAGGTTGATTTAAATTCTATGAAGAGAGTGATTAAGTCTTATCAGTAGAAAATAAAGAGTCAGGTAAATGATTTTCATATTAAGGGAAAAGTGGAACTTTATTTATAGATGACAAATGTTATGGTAATGGTTATGGTTTAGGTGGTAATTAATATTATTATTATAGATTATTATTTGATTATCTTACATTAGACATTTTATTTAATGGATGTTAATATTTATTGGAAGGAGTTTCATTTAATGATAATTTATTATGAGCTGATTAAGTACGATTAACTTATATTACTGGAGGTAATAATACATTTTTTTAATTATTTACTTTATAAACACCTTAACTACCCTATTAACCAAAATTAGTTGAACAATCTTCTTCATCTTCTGAATCTGGATTTTTATATTCTCTTCTTATTACATTATTTTCTAATTTAATCCAATATTTGTGTACCTCCTCTTGCTAAGAATAATTCTCTATTGTGATTATCAATATTCTTTTATTCTTATGGCTTTTTCAATTCCTTTACTCTATCTGCATATCTAAGTGTATTAAGAGTATGTTCACTATTAGCATTACTAGGAGAAATGTTACCAATCATTACAGTTCTGCAATTACCAATAAGACTATCCTTTAAAACTAAAGTTAATTTGCTTCCTCTAAAAGGAGTATGATTTTTATTTAAATCTAATGCTCTTATACATTCTTTCAGTGCTAATAATGATTTATTGATTTCAGCTCCATCAACTCTTGTAGCTTTATCTTAATCTCTAACATCAGCACCTCTTTCACTACCTGCTAAATCAATAAAAGATAATTTTCCATGTATTTATTTATTATTTTTTAAAGTAATCTATAAAATAGCATGAGATCTAGAAGATTCTGAATTAGCAGAATTAGATGATGTGATTCTTGAACTTTATCCATATTAAATTATTTGCATCAATTACTGGACATTATTGATTTTTTTTTCGCTAAGTCCTTTAATTTGAACATTCCCTTTAGCATCTTCTTAAGCAGCTAATTGAGATCTATCATTTAATAAATCAAATAATTTGCCACAATATATCTCATAAAATGAAATTGAAATTACTAAATGTTAATACTCTACCTAATTAGAACATAATTAAATAGATACCTTTTAAACCATAGCAAATATATCATGACTTGCCATTACATATAATCCAGGTACTCCTTAATCTTGATCTCCAAGCATTGTATAAGTTTTCCCACTACCAGTTTAACCATATGCAAAACATGTACATTTTGCTTTATTGAATGCTGCCTAGATTATTGGTCTTACTGCTAATTGATATACACCTTAATTATCAATGGTTTCATCAAATGCTAGATCAAAGTTAAAGTGATGTTACTCAATAAATTTAGTCAAATCAACTTTTTATCTAAGTTCTTAGATATATTTACTTGATTTCACTTAAAATTACTGTTTGTTAATCCTACACTGATACAATATCTTAATCTCCTCTAATTAATTCTTTTTTTCCTAAAGGTCTCTTACGAATTACAACTGTAATTTTATTTGTGTCCATTTTAAAATATTAATTAAAAAATTACAACTTAAAATGAAAAATCAATAACAACAATAATCAGGTAATAGTAATGCTGCTTAAATAAGAAAGAAGCTTCTTAATAATTAATAAGTTTTATCAGAAAGTTAAAAGAATGAAATTAAAAAAGCATTTGATTATTTTGATACAGCAGGATCAGGTACTATAGAGGCAACAAACTTAAAAGTAGTCTTAAGAGCTTTAGGATTTGATCCAACTTAAGAAGAAATTGGAAAATTAATTAAAGATCTTGGTAAAGGAGATGTTAAATATGATGCTTAGAGAATTGATTTTTAAGAATTTCTAGAAATTATGATGGTAAAAATGAGTCAAAAAGATTCTCTTGATGATATTAAAAAAGCATTTAATCTTTTCAAAGATAGTAACAACCAAAAGGTATATTAATATATTATAATCATTAAGAAAATAATCACATTTGATTCATTAAAGAAAGTAATTTAAGATTTAGATGAAGATATGACTGATTAATAAATCTTATAATTGTTAAAGGGAGCTTAATCAAATACAAATGAATTAAAAGAGATGGATAAAGATGGTAAAAAAGAAAAGAAACAACCTGAAGATGAATATAAAATAGAAGTATCAGAAGATCAATTCATTAAAATATTAACTAGAGATCTTAATGATGACAAAAAGAAATTATGAAACTTAATTTCATATTTTAATAATCATTCTTCCCTCATATTATCCAAATATATAATAATTACATAATCTGAAATATTATTATGTACTTATATTGTTTTAGAAAGTCTGTCTAAAATATACTTTACTACTTAATTTAGATTCAAATTATTAAATAAATTTTAATATATTTATATTCTCATTTTATATATTTGAATCTTCAACTTATCCAATATAATTTTTATTACTTTTTTGGGAACATTTAAATCTGTTTTTAAAAGATTATTTTGCAATAATAATTTCAATTTAAATAATCAATATATAAAATTTAATAATTTAATGAATTAATATTAATTATCATATAACAGCTATCTTAAATATATTTAATATTTTTTATAAATAAATTAATTCATAAATAGAATTGATTCATAATTTAATATTGAATAATATACAAATAATAATAAGTCTTTTAATTGTTATTTCTTTTTTAATAATATTTTTTGTCAATATTTATCATTTAACACATATTTTTATTTCATTCGAAATTCCTAAAAATTTATTTAATATAATATTATTTAATAATAGAATTTCGAAGCCTTAAATTCTCGTATTTCTATTAAAAATTTACTAATAATATTAATGTCTAGCAAGAAACAAAAGAAAGTTTAAAAAGCTGCCGAAAAAGGATAACAAATCTCTACAAATAGAGGAAAGCCAAGTGATATTGAAAAAACAAAATTATAAATTCCTAATATATGGACTAATGATTAAACGTGCTTGAGACTTATTAAATATTTGAACGATGTTGGAAGACATAATTGCTTGCATTAAGCAGGTAAACCAAATCCTGACGATAAATATAAAACTAATAAATCAGAAATTGAGAATACAAGAGAATATTATGAAATATCAGAAAGGTTTGCCGCTGAATTGTTCGGTCATAAATGTGATACAAAAAGATGTATAGTCTTCTTTTTCAGGCCAAGTGGAGATGAGAAATTCAATAATTTTGATTGGATAAAAAAATAGAAATTGGACTGTCATGATGTGCTTATAAAACTCTCTGCTTAGTTTGCTCCTAAATTCTTCAAAGATTTACTCACAATTTTAACTTCAAATATCTCTATGTCAACAATTGTTGACCTTTTTCTTTAAAATGGAAAAACACCTTAATCTTACTCTAGTATAATTTAAAATCTATACATCAAACAGATGATCGATACTATGAAACAAAAACAAAGTAAATAATAATTTCTAGAAATGAAAAAAAGAGCTGATATGGAATCTGATTTTTACTCTTTTATTTAATCTTAATTTGCTAAAGATGAATTAGAGAAATTTATTAAAGAAATAAGATAAATTTTTAATAGAGAAATTGATCAATATGAACCATAATATTTTGAAAATGATATATAAGAAATAGATAACTTTCAACAAAATTAAAATGAATCACTTTTCTAAGAAGATTTGGATTTTCAAAGAGAGTACAATTATTTTATTCAAGCTCTTGAGTGATGATTTTATTTATAAAGCTTATATAAAATAGAATTTATTCTATCTTTCAATTATATCATCTAAATATATTTATAGTCTTTAATTATTTTGTCATTTCAAAATTCTATTAATTTTTTTTGAATCTAATCATATAAATTAGTAAAATTTTATTATGTAATAGATCATACAACAACATTTTTATTTTTATCATAGTAGCAATTACACTAATTCTTATATTTAAGATGTTAAGATCACATTTTATGAGGCATTTATATATTATCTTTTTTTATTAAGAGCATTATAATAGAGTCTTATTTTTTTCTATATATTTTTATTTTTTATAGAATGATGCTCAGTATTATAACTTTGTAATAGAATTAAGGATTTATAAATATAAGTAAATTTATGAAGAGAAGTTCTAACAAGCTACAAAAATAAAATGCTAGTTAACCTTAAACTGAAAATAGAGGTAAGCCATCATAATTAAAATTTTTATAATTAAATGCACCTGGAATTTGGACAAACAAACATAAAAGTTTATATATTATCAAATATTTAACTGATAATGGAAGACATAATTTCTTACATCAAGCAGGTAAACATTCAAATAAAGATGCTGACCATGAAAATTAACAAAATAATTAAGATACAAAGATATATTTTGAATAAGCCCAGGAAATAGCAGAGAAATTATTTAATATTTAATGTTCTTCTAAGAGATGTATTGTATTTTACTTCAGGTACATTAATGAATAAAAATTAACCTATGATTTTTCAGAATATATCTAGAATAAAGATTTTGTAGATATTCTAAGTTCAATTTAAAATCTATTAACCGAAAATTTCATACAAGATCTTATTATTATCTTGAGTTCTCAGAACAATATTAATTCTATTGCTGATATGCTTTTAGAAAATAAAGGTGCACCTTCAAACTATTCCCATATAATTAAAAATTTGTTTATCCAGAAAAAAATTGACACAATGATAGAGTAGAAAACGATTACCTCTGATATTGAAACAATAAGAAATGAATTTGAAGATTTTTTAAAAGATCCTTAAACTAAATATTTAGTTAGAATGTTTATTTGTGACATTTTAAACATATTTTATACTTAAACAATTGATCAATCAAATTAAGATGAACAATTTCAAATGGCAGAAGTTAATGATTTTTGATAACATATATTAATGATCATTCATATTTTAAAAATATATTATAATTCTATTAAAAAAATTCAATAAATAATGTGATTCGAATAATTATCAGTATAAATTTATTAACTAAAAAATACAATTATTCATCATATTATTTATTGAATTAGTTTATAAATAAAAATTATTTACAGTTTTTTAAAAATATTATTAATTAATTCAAAAATTTAGACATACAAGGGGTTTTATAGGAATCTTTTGAGGGTTAATCAAATGAATATGTATTAAATAATTTCTTTTTTTTACTTTATCTTATTGACATCTATTTGAAGTATCTTAATTACCAGATATCAAGATAAAATTATGGATTTAACAGAAGCGAACATCTTGCTTTAGTTTTTTACTATTAGTCAAATTATAAATAATGATTGTTGATATGGAAAGTTGAAGACTGAGATAGTGAAAATAAGAAAGTAGTTTATAAATAAAATAATAATATTTTGGGTTTGATGATTGATTACTGATAATTAAATTAATAAAGAGGATGAATTTGAAATGAGTCTTAACATTCTTTTAAATTACTGAATAAGTAGTTTGTAGTATAATGCTTAATATAATTTTACTAAACATAGATAAAGAGTCGTTATAAATAAAATCTTAAATAATGCAGAATCAAAAGCATAAAAATACATGATCTATTATTAAGATGGGGACTTCACAACACTACTGTGTATTTTGTACAAGACCATATCATGTTTTTTTTATTATGAATATATTTATCAGACCAACTGAAGATGAACTGAAAAAAGACTTTAACGGAGATTTTGATCTCTATAAATGTTACTTTATTATTTGGATTAAGTGGAACAGGTAAAACAACTTTGAGTCCTGATCTAAACAGAAAAATAATAGGAGACGATGGACATGCTTAGTCTGATAATGCAATTTTTAAAATTGAAGGTGGTTATTATGCTAAATGTGTTTATCTTTTTAAAGAATAGGAACTTGAAATTTTAATGCAGTAAAGTTTGAAGCAATATTAGAATACATTAAATATTTTATAAAATAAAACCAGAGAAGTTGATTTCTCAAATATCTCTATCACTGAAAATATTAGGTTAGTTACCCTTTAGAATTGATTCCAAAAGAACCATAAGCCAGGTTCTCTGCTTGTTTTGGAGAAGCCTTTTGAGGATTACTTCTCTCTATGCGAATATTCTAATTGGTAGAATCAAGTAACATGATCCACTCAATTAATAAAATATTTATTTAAAATTATTATTTTTTCTTATTAACTATAAAAAAGTCTGGTATTACAAGAATTGGTTTAAAAATTTAAGTCAATTTCAAAAAATTTGAAGTTTAAGCAACTAAAGAAATTATTAATGCAGGTTAGAAAATGTGATCATTTTTTGTATATATATTAAATTTGTAAGTTAATTTGCTACAAAAATTATAATTAATATAATATGCAAAAGGAAATTTAAAATTATATTGGAGAATTTAGTCTTGATTATACTAATGCTGCTATTTTTGGCAAAATATAATTGCAAGTGCATAAATACTTAATTCTTATTGTTAATTCATAATGTATAGGTTAATTGTTAGGACATGAGATCTATTTGATTAAATAATTAGTTTTCTATCCCTTATCAGAAAGTGAAGTCATTCATAAAAATGATTAAATCTATATTGAAATGATCAAATCTATTCTTTGTGATGATTCCTGTTATTATAGTTTAACATATAATCTTACACATAGTTTATAATTTAAGAAGAATAGAAACAGATTTGCTATTAATCATAAATACTTGGAAGAGATTGAAAATAAAACCTATGTAATAAATGGATGTGTGTAAATCTACAATAATGCAACACTTACATATTGTTAGATTGTAAGAAGAGAATGTTTAAGACAAGGTAGAAGATTTACTTAAAGAGGATGTGATTAATAGGGAAATTGTACTAATTACACAGAAATTGAAGATGTATATTAAATAAACAAATCTACATATTCTTTTATTTAAGTAAGAGGATCATTACCTTTCAAGTGGTCCTAATTACCATATTTGAATCCAAAACCCAATATTGTATATTTTATATTATATTTAGTAAATTGATAGCAATTCTGATAATAATATAGAATTATGTAATGCTCATTTATTTACATAAATATAATATTATAGAGAGATGTTTATATTAAATTTAATTGATCGTAAAGGGAAATAATAGAAACTTGGAAATTATTTTTAATCAATTTTAGAGTCTTTTTAAAGAAGAGAAATTTAATATTTTTGGTTTGATTTTCATTAAGAAAGAGCAAATCTTAGTAAATTAGTTGATGAAATTAGTTCAGTTTTAGAATAATATGGTTATTATTAAATAGCAAATTAAAATACTAAACTAATTTCTGAATAAAAGGGAGTTTTTAGAGTGAATTGCATGTCATGTATAGACAGAACAAATGTTGTTTAATATTTAATAAGTAAATTCATTTTAGAGGAAATTATTTAAGATGCTGGTATAGAAGATTCTTTAGAATTTATACATAAAAAAGTTTGGATTAATTCAGGAAATTAATTAAGTAAATTATATTCAGGTACTAATTCATTAAAGAATAATTATATAAGATATGGTAAATAAACTAAGTATGGAATGATTTAGGATGCAGTTTTATCAACTAAAAGATATTTCTTAAATCATTTTAATGATTATCATATATAAAATAGTATTGATTTAACTCTTGGTTTATGGGATATGAATGATTCTCGATTTCATAATTATAAATTTGAAAATTCTCTTCAGAAATGCATACTTATAGTATAAAATAATAATTATTAAATAGTTTATTTTGCTGATGATTATTTTCAATTATTTAAATTTGGGTATTCTTAGTCCAGCTCTTTCATTAGTAGTTTTAAACTACTTTCCATAAATTTATTAAGTAAGATCAATACTAACATAATGATACATCTAAATAGATTTATATAATTATTGAATTAATAATTAATCAATATTATAAATAATAAATTTATATAACTAAATATATAAGTATTTTTCTAAAATAAAATAGATAAAATATAAATATAAAATAAAATTTAATAATCTATTATTGATCCTTATTTTCAATTATTTATATAATGAAATTCTAAATTCTTTATTACTAATAAAATATTATATAATTTACAAACCAAATATGATATCATGCACAAAATTCTAAAATATGATAAAATATATATATATATATATTTTCATTTTATATTAAAAGAATCCTGATTATTTCTACCAATAACACCTAATACTCTATAAGGTTGAAATTCATTAGCATAAACTCTTCTTTAACTATTTAAACTGATTGCTCTAGTTTAACGCTATTTAGGACTCATGCATTCTAAAGCTAAATTGCTTAGATCCAAAATTGGAGGGGCATAAAATTCTCTATCCACAGATAACTTTTAATTTCGAGGACGTAATGAGGGATTTGGATTATTATGTTAAGAATTAGTCATCATAGGAAGATGATTTAAAGGTTTTAATTATATTTTAAATGTATTTTTAGTTAATGGAGATTATTGTCTAATATTATTATTATTATTATTATTATTATTATTATTATTATTATTATTATTATTATTATTATTATTATTATAGTCTTATTATGTTACTTAGATTACATTTTACATTTATTAATAATTGGTTTACATGATATCATCATTTAAATACTATTTTAATTATGATTTTTTAACTCTTCTTTTTTTTAAAGTTTATGGAGATTTAGTTGGACTTGGAGTAGTTGATTATTCAAATTATTTTTCACTATTTTATTAATGTGTTATTTTAATATCTTAAATTAATTATAGATTATCTTCAGTAGGTTAATTTAGTTTAGTTGATTGCATCATTAATTATTATCTAATTATAGGTTTTTCTTATTTATCTTTATTTCTATGAACAGATAATCTCATCATTTATTCTTATTCTATATCTTCAATAACAACAGGTGTTTAATTTTATAAATTTAAATTAACTACTCTAATTGGTTATTTAGAAGAAAAAGGTAATAATAATTTTGAAGATTAAAGAATAGTTGAATGTGACTATTTTGTTGAATCTATAGTAGTATGTTAATCAATTCGAGTATTTTAATCCATTTTATTAGAAGCACAAGAGATTTTACTTTTCTAATCTTCAGTTAAAGATTTTTAATAATCTGCAAATAATTAATCATAATTTCCTAATAAAAAATCTTACTTTTTTATTTAATTAATCTTCTTTGACTTTTAATCATAAAATTCTTTATTGATTAAATATTTTTTATATCCTATCTTATTTAAAATCATTAAAGCTAATATTAATTTATGTAATTTTTATGATAATTTCCATTTATTAAATTCTTCCTCCATTGTTAATGGTTCATCATTTCCACAATTAAACCATGGATGTAATAATGCTTATGTAGCACTATATCTTTTAGTTGGATTTATTTCTGTTAATCTTCGAAATAGACTATATTACATACTCTAGATTAATTATGTCAATATTACTCATTAAGATACGATTTGCATTATTCATGCATTTATAATTATGATTAAGTTAAATCACAACCTTTCTAATAATATGGATGTTATCCTACAATAAGTTGATACATAATCACACCAGCTGCCCATATATCAATGGCTTTGTTGTATATCTTATTATTTAATTATTCAGGTGCCATATATATGAGAGTTCCACATTATTTAGTCATTAAAGATGCATATCCTGTACTTAACCCAAAATCAGTTACTTTAAGAAGACTCAAATCATGAGTGACTAATATATTTTCTGGCTTAAGGTCTCTATGAGCAATATTATTGTTATGCATATATTATAAAGCATTGAATATTTAATACATTATGTATTTAATCTATTCTTCAGAACACTTTTAAATAGAACTTAAAGATCCTATTAATAAATTGATTTAATATACCTCCCTATATTAGTTCCATTTCAATAAGTATCCTAGATTCAGTCTCATGTACTCCAAAAAACTTCACAATGTTAGGATGTGATAACTCTTATAAAATATGAGCCTCTTATAATAGTTATTCTAATTGCAATAAAGATTTCTTCTTTATAACCTAGAATAAGTTAGGACATTCACAATTACTTTGACTGCCACTAATTGTTGTGTCTCCTTATTTAATGCTTTTAATACAGTTCCAAATGATCCTTAACCTAGAAATCCTTAGAATTCAAACAAATCAAATGAGAAATCAAGATTGTCATTCATGAATAATAAAATTAATAATGGGATGTGTATGTGAAAAATCAAAAAGAGTACAACCTGAACCTACTTAAATTGAAGTTCATCCCTGTGAAACAGCTCAACCTTAATCTCAACCTCAGAAATAAACTTCTTTAAAGAAGTTGAAAATACCTTAAGTAGTTTATTCATATGATATTTGTAGAAGAAGAAGAAAGTTAGGGAAACTTAAAAACTAGTTAAGACAACTAATGAAGATGTAAAATGATTATTAAATCTAAGGGAGTTAAAATGATTAATGACTATATTTTTGATGAATTTCTTGGAGAAGGAGCATTTGGTAAAGTCAAATTGGCATTCAAAAGATCAAGTGGTTAAAAATATGCTATTAAAATCATGAGAAAAAGTAAACTAAAACGATAGAGAGAGTATATTAAGGATGCTAAGGGAAGTAGGACTTACTATATATAATTAGATATGGTAATTAAAGATGCACTTTAAGATGTAAGAAGAGAAATTGCTATAATGAAAAAGTTAAGACATAAGAACTTAATTCAATTATTTGAAGTTATTGATAATCCAAATAATGATAAATTATTTATGGGTATTTATTATCTCATTATAAGTATTGGAGTATGCTGATGGTGGATAAGTAATTGAATGGGATGATGATGAATGCAAGTTTTATTAAGTTAATGAATCTGTTATACTTGATGAACCATTACTTAATTAAATATTTCGTGATTGTATTAAGGGTCTCAATTATTGTAACAGTCCTTTAATTATATTTTAAAGTGCATAAAAATGGTGTTGTTCATAGAGATTTAAAACCATAAAATGTTCTCTTGTCTGAAAATAAAACTGCTAAAATTGCTGATTTTGGTGTTTCTACAATGGTAGGAAGTAAAAATGATGTATTGGATAATACATAAGGAACTTATTATTTTATGCCTCCTGAAGCATGTGATAAAGATAGAGTTAAAGATGGTTATTCTGGTAAATCTGCTGATATTTGGGCTTTGGGAATTACATTTTTTGCTTTTGTTTATTTAGATGTTCCATTTACAGGTTCATCTATTCCTGATATACTTCATAATATTGCTAATAATGAGTATAAATATTAATAAAATTATTAGAATTACATTTCCTTAAAGAAATGATATTAGTGATGGTTTAAAAGAATTTTTGTAATTTATTTTATAAAAAGATCCTAAGAATAGACCAAAAATACCTGAAATAGCCAAACATCCATGGTTAAATGCATAGAATATGAATTTATGGGATGAAATGTAATGATTGTTAAAATAAATAGAAATAAAGAAGAGTAAACTGATATGGAAATTGCATAAACAGATATTGATAATGCTTATTCATTGAGTTCGATAATGATGATAAAAAATTGGGCATTTAAATGGAGAACTACATCCAATCTTAAAAAAATTACAAATATTCAACAATCATAATAAATCAATTCAGAATAAATAATTAAATGATAAAAATGAATAATAAATTATTTTACTCAATCAGTTAATACCATTATATGACTAAAACCTAATGCAATATCTTAAATCTTAACATTTTCCAATCCCAATTCAGGTATTAATCTAGTGTATGTTTCATAATATGGTATATCCATATATCTTAAATCTTATCCACCCCAAATTATACAATCTCCTTTACTTGTTATAACTGCAGATCTATCAAATTTAGCATATATTTTAACAATCTTCTCATCTTGTTCAAGTGGTAAATTAATTTCTGTTTAACCACTAAATTCAAAATCAAATTTAGATTTGATTCCCATCTAATTATGCAATAGACAACCAAAAAATATTAATCTATTATTGCTAGTTAATACTAAATTATGTGCTTATCCAGAAACTATTTATTATATTGATTCATTTGGTTATAAATCTAAAAATACTTCTGTAGGTTCTTTTATTCTATCAATTTCATTATTCATTCCACATTATCCATAAATATTTAAACCACAAGCATAAATTCTATTATCAGAAACTTATAAAATTGTATGATGAGCACCAGAACTAATTCTTTAAATCTTTTAATTTCTAATATCCATCAATTATCTATGTTATGTAAATTCAACTAATAATAACTATTAACTTTTTAATCAATACCATATATTTAATCTTAATCATTCTTTCTTGTTTCAGTAAATTAATAATGATTTCTTTTACCAGATCCATAAACAACTCCTCCTTCTGTCAATAACAAACTATGTTAATAACCACATCCTACTTAAATCACCTTATCTTTAGTTGGCAATTACAATTATTTAAACTAAAATTAATACTTTAATTCACCATTTCCCAACTATCCTTTATAATTTTCACCCATCCCATAACATACTCCATCATTCATTTGTATTATAATAAAACTACCTCCAACTTAAAATGATTTGATTGGAGCATCAATAATAGGTTTATTTAATAAAACTGGTTATACTATTCCACCTCTCATTGATAACATAGTACCAAGAGGAGAATATTTCTAATATTGATTTTAATTTGAATACTTGCCATAATTTACATAGAGTAGGATTTCTCTTATAAAATGAAAGTGTTCTATTTTCAGTCATTGTATCTAATTACCAACCCCAATGTAATAATTAACCATCTTATAATAATGCAAATGATTATGTCATATTAGCTTCTAATTATTTTATTCCCATATTTTATAAATCAGGTATAAGTGCAAAATGTTCTAGACTTTTAAAATTACCTTATCCCAATTACCCCATAAAATTCAACCCTTTTGCAAATACTTTCATTAATTAAAATGTAAGAAAAATAAAAACCAAAATTATTCCTCGAAAAATTATTCGATTTATTAGAAGTATATTCAATTGTAACTAGTCTGGTGAAGCATATAACATTATTCAATGGACTGTCGATAAAGATGCTATCAAAATTATTAATCGATCTTAATTGATTCGTGATATCCTACCTAACATTTTCAAATAGACATCTTATAAGAGTTTCACTAAATAGATGAACCTTTATAATTTTAAAAGTACAAAAGATGAAAATGGGTTTACCATTTTTATTAATCCTCATTTTACTCAAAGTTCCTTGAATCTTACATAAATCATGGCAGAGAAAAGAACCATTAAAAAGTCAAAAAAGGAAGATACTAAAAAGAGAAGTGAATTGTAATAAGAACATGAATAACTTAAATAAAAATTAATGGCATTATTCAAATATTAAGTAACACTTTAAAATGAAATCAAAACATAATTGGAAATACATAAACATCTTTAGATGAGAGTGGGCATAATTAAAAAATGTATTTATAATCGTAAAGAGAATGGATTAAAGAGAAGAAGAAAAGTTTACAATTTTTTGAATTCTTTTTTTACAAATCTCTAATCTTCAGTTATATGTATTCATTTAACATTTACAGAAAATTAGGTCAAAAATTTCTTATTTTGAATCATGATCTAATTTGTTAATGTGATGACAACAATGAAGAATAATGTCTAGACTTTTAGACTTCTAGATCATTATATCAAACACCTTATTTGACACCAAGAAATCTAACAATTTTTTAATAAAATTCTATAAGATAATTATAAGATTTATTTTACGATGAAGATAATAGACCTAAATCTTTTTTATAATTAACACCTGAATAATAAAAATAATATATTGAAACTATATGGGATGATTGATTAATATATATATATATAGAAATGTAATCATTATGATAAATTATATATATTGAAATTATATCATAATACAATTATATTATTATATACTCAATCTTTGTAACATTGATTAATACTTAAATAACAATTATTTAGTATTTTTTTATTTTATTTTAAATTGTATTTGTTCATACATATTTTTATTAATTTTATTAATTTATGATTAGCACTCCAATAAATAATACTCAATCTGAAATTAAAGAATTTATTGAAAAAACACAATAAATTATTCATGCTTAAAAATAAATTGTAGATATCCTTGATGCTTAAATTGACTAATTATTCAAATTATAAAATATCAGAAATCAAATTGATTAAACATCTAATAATACTTAGAATTTAATTATCGAACTAAAAAAATAAGAAAATGAGTTAGAAGGCATATCATCAGAATAAGATGAATTGATAAGAACATTAGAAAAAGCAGTTGCAAGTGAAGACTAAGTAGAACAAGATGCTGCTCGTTTGCATTAATAAGAAAAAACTTTAATTTAGAGAATGTCTAATTAAATTTAAGAAGTATTGCATTTATATATTTAATTAGATTAAAAGCGGTTAAAATACAAGTTTAAACTTAATATAAAAATATTTTTTTGTTTTAGAAAAGTAATCTTGATATTGAATGTATATAAAATGTATTAAATAATATTTAAAACATCTTAGAAAAATAATATAAAATTATTAATTTAACATTAACAAACAAAATATTTGATATTTGGAGGGAAATAATTTTAGTAAAAATAAATCATAACTTTATATAATCTTTATTGATTGGTTTAAATATTACAGCGAATTTTGTTAATTTTTATTTCAGAATCTTAAGACAGATTCTAATTATTTACAGTCTAATACTATCTAAATAGATTCTTAGGAAAAACATTTCATCTACATTCCTTGCTATATTTTAACCTATTTTATATCATGAAAATTTATAAAAATTAGATAAACTTATATCATTTTGAGAAATTTATCAGTTTATTTAGTATTGACTTTTCAATCTATTTAGTTTTAATTTATTGATTAATATATTTTATTAAAATTTCCTATTAAATTATAAGTCATCTCAAAGGTAGATTAGAAGAATCAATAAATTAAAGAGTAGTATTAGTTTATAATTTTTTTGTTTAGAAGTATTTAATAAATATTTACAATTAATTCTATTTTAACTATTTTTTTGTTTTTTGTATTTACAATAATTTTTATTATCAAAAATATAATATTTAAAATAATAGATGATTAATTTACCAATAAAGGAAAATAAAAGCTTTATAAAAATTCTAATTCAAATTTTAGATGTATTTTAATTAATTATTAAGAATTAATAATTATAGAGTATAATCAGAAAGAATGAAGACAATAATGGATTCATTATTGTAAATTAAAAAGAGTTTGTTGAAAAGATCCTTTTATAATATTATAAATCAAAAAAATTTGCTAGTTTCCGAAGGTATTCTTATCGCTAAAATCGAGATCTTTAAATTCTTATGGATTTTAAGCTTATAAATTATAAAAGGGGTAAAAGTTATTCATCAATAAGAATATTATTTCAATTAATCCAAATATTCATAAAAGATCTTAAAGTGCATATTTATAGAATTACTAATAATAAATAGAAAATGACCATCAAATTTTAATTTTATAAATTTCATAATTGAAAAGTAATTAAGAATTGATGGAATAAAATATAAAAAGAATTCTTTTTATCTAATAAGAATTAACAAAAAAGATGAAAGTTACAATGATAGTAATAAAAATTAATTATTATTAGAAATATATTTAAGGATTACTAGATGCATTTATAAAAGGGAAAAAAGCTGAATAATTTGTTTTATAATTTTGTTTCTCTATAAAAAATAAATAATACAGTAAGAAATAGAAATATACATTAGAAAAATATATGAAGATTAATATTAAAAAAGCATTATCATTACCAGATATAAACTATTATCCTATTAGTGATTACTAATTAGAAATTTCTAATCACCCTTACCCAAATATTGGATTCTTAGAATTAATGATGAAATTAAACTTTAACATAAATAATTGCTTTTCTGTATAATTATTTAATCGTATGATATTAAACAATAGTGATTTTTAAAATAAAGAGAAAGATGAGGATGATTATGATAGTAATTTAAGTAATTTTTTTTGTTTTAATCAATTAGAAATGTGATTTTAAATAAATTAAATTTTATTCTAATTCTTTTTAATTAGCAATTTCAAAATTGTCTAATTTAACCTTTTGATATTTTTTCAAAAGCTTAATCAATACTATTTTATTTTGATTTACATTCATTTTAAAGACCCTCTATTGATTCATTTCTAATAAACTAAAATTATAAATTATTGTTTATTACTTCTAAATACTCAATGGGAGCTTTTTAAAGTATTTATGTAGGACTCCATTTCAATAAGTATGAGACTATTAAAGCTAAACTAAATAAGACTTGAATTATAATCTCATATTACATTTTGATATCATTTTATATTATCTATTTTAATTTAATCTATTACTTTAAATGAAGGTATTTTTTCAATAAAAAGTTTTGTTTAATCTCTCAAAATTTCAAATAATGTATACTATGATGTTTTATTAAGTATTTCAGATATTCTTTAATCAACATTTCCTTTCATTCTTGCTCTTTCTAGATTTGATTAGGATAACCTTAAAATTTTAGTAAATTATGAATCTATAATTTTATGTTCTTCATCTATTTTCTTCTAAAAATTATCATATTCTTCCTATAAATCTAAAGTGAAACATTGATCAGATCTATTTATTTATTTAATTTCATATATTTGTAAAATTAATGATTATGAAATAAGAAAAATGATCTTTAGAATTACAAATTATAAAGTAAATGATTAAAATTCCTCATCAAATAATCTCACATAACTAAGTGTTTCTGATAAACTAGAATACATATTTCTATTATAAAATTTATTCTAAATACCTTTATTCAATATAATAATCTATTTATTTCTTTAATAAATTAGTTCTTTAATTTTTAAAAAGATCTTTAACAAACGATAATTATTTTTAAAATTACTCTTATTCTTGATTCAAAACTAAAATACAATTAAATGATTTCAAATTTTACTGTTATCATATTTTTTAACTGCTCCAGTTTCATTAATAACATCTTGATTATTTTATTCTATCTCTTAATAAAATTATCTATTCTTTTCACAATCAAAGGTTTTTGTTATAAGATCTGATCTTGTAATTAATTTATTAATGGAAATAGATAATAGAGTAGATTAAACTATATAATCATTCGTAATGTTAAGCAATTTCAATAAAGAATGAGAATAAACTTATGACCAATTTAATCTTTGATTTGGATCATACTTAAGAGTTTATTATAGAAAATCAATAGTCTCTTTACTTACTTCTTATTCTTAACAAGTGAAATCCTATTATGATTATTCTATTTACTATATTATTTTCTTTGATTTATTCAATTAATTCTGCTTTTGTTGCACCATTAAAAGGGAATCTTTTATATATCATTTTAAAATATAGAACACTTGCAGTGTATAAATCAGAGACCATAGAAAATTTAGTTTAATTTTGTAGAATTTCTGGTGGAATTATTTCTTTTACAATTCCAATATTTTTGAAATCTTCTTCAGTTTACATATTTGCTAATTAGTCAAAACAGATATTAATTTATCCTATTTTAATTGAATCATCTTTTTAAAAAATATTTTTTGGACTAAGATCTACAAAATTAATCTAATTTTCATGTAAAGCTAAATAAACTTATATATTACATTTTAATCCATTTAATATTTCTCTAAAATAATGTTTAGCTTTATCTTCATTTATAATTGATTTATTCATAATATCATCTAAAGTTCCTTAATTTAGCTATTCCATGAATATATAGTAATTTTATTCTGATTCTTTGAAATCAATGTATTGAATAACATTTCTACTCTAAACTGAATAAATTTTTCTAAAATTTGGCAAAATATTAGGTATGATTGGAGGTTTTGCAATTATTTAACACATACTTAGTCCATTTTCACCTGTAAAATATATTTACTATTTATATACCATTTTCTGGGTTTAATCTTATAGCATTATGATAGACTCGCTTTTAATTTACGAATATTTGTTATTGAATCAAAAAGTCATTGACCTATTTATACATTTATATAACAATTATAAAAATATTTATAAATATTTGTAAACAAAATTCTCAAACTTCGACTTCAAATTTGAATTGCAATGGAAATAGTTGATCAGTGTTTTATGAAAATTATAACTTATTTGAAACTTAGTATTTCATTCTATTATACTTTCCTGCAATTCCAATAATTCCAAATCCATTTTAATTAAACTAATTATAAAGACAATATAATACTTTAGTTATTAAAAATAGTTTTCGATCAATCTTATGTCTTAATCCAAAATTTAAGGATGTAGTGTATTTATTTAATTTATAAGTTCTATTGATTTTAAATGCCAATTAAGTATTTTCTTTAAATGGTGATTATATCATCATACTTGATTCATTTTATTAACTAATAAAATAAAAATATATATATGATTACTAACAAAATTTGATTTTTCTATCTTTGTTTTCTGCAAATTGACAAAATTATGTAAATTATAATTACTTATTTTTGAAACACATTTCAAGAATTGTTTTCATTTACCAATCACCCCATAAATATTTTTTTCTAGCAAAGAAATTAAAATCAGATGTCTTTTGTGTTTTGTTGTATTCACAATAAAATTAATATTATTTTTCAAGTGTTAATTTGAATCCTGCATTAAATTATTGGAGAATATCAACAACATTAGGAGATTTAACAAATAATTTAATAGTTTCATCAAGTTTGTAACTGGTAAAAATACTGTATGTTGAATCATTAGCAAAAGTATTAATTAAACTAAATCTAGGAGTGATATATTTAAATTTGGCTTAGGCAGCAAATTGTTGATTGGTTCCACTACATTTAGCTGTATAGCTCTATTTAATTATATTAACCAATAAAATACAAAGGGTTCCTCTTTGTCTTTGGATTTAAAAACAAACTCAGTATTGTGATTGTTTAAGTTTAATAATTTTGAGTCTTTTGGATATTAATGCATAAAATATTTTTATTAATATATATTAATAAAATGTAAAATAATCCTGTGTTGTAAAGATTTCTATAGAACAATCCATTCATTGAAGGAATTGTATTAATGGATAAAGAAGGAATAGAGTAAGAAATATAGAGAAACTTAGAATTATAGCCGCATTCTAAAATGAAAATAACAAATTAAGAACAGGAGCATAATCATTAATGTATGTAGTGGCTATTTAATAATGCAATGAAAATTTAAGAAAACTTTCTGATTCTGAAACAAAACAAATTACATTAGTTTATGAGTATTGAATGGTATGTAAATTTAGTGAATGGATTATCTATTTCGAAATTTGGACACATTCAATTTTGATATTTTATTGTAATGTTAAAGCTAATATTGTGTCATTAAAATAACTTGGGCAGGATCTAAAACGCATACTTTACCCTTATAATGATCTATTAGAAAAATAGTAAAAATGAATTAAATATATTAAATCATATATAATGTCATTAAGAGCATTTATTTTGATTTGTTTGATATTTTTAGGATATTGCAAAGAATCAGGTGAAAAACATCTAACAATATTTACATAGTCAATAGGTTCTATGTTAGTTTCAGAAATTGGTGACAAAGTAAATGAAACTATTGAGATAAAAATAGACATTTTTCTTGGCTGCAATTTTGTCAATGAAGTTCAATAGACTGGCTGTATTCACTGGAGCAGCAGGAGCATTAGTTTTAATGACAGCAATTAGTTGTGCTTTCGGTATTATAGTTCCTACTCTTTTGCCTCGCTTTTATACTGCAATTGTAGTGACGATTATTTTTTACTTCTTTGGAGGTAAATTACTCTTTGATTGGTATCATATGGAGAATGAAGGAGATAAAGAAGAATTAAAATAAGTAGAATTAGAGTTAGAAGAATTGGATAAAAAATTATTGAGCAGCCATAAAATTTTAGATACTGAAAATCCATCAGAAGGACAAAAAACAAGTAATAATATATTTAGATATCTCTAGATTTAGCAGTTGTAGTGCCTATTTAATAAATTATCTGGTAAGCCTTTATCATGACTTTTTTGGGAGAATGGGGTGATAGAAGTTAGATAACTACCATAAGTTTAGCAGCTGTTTAAGATGCTGATATTGTGTTTTTGGGATGTAGCATAGGCCATATAATATGTACAACAATTGCTGTACTTGGAGGGAAACTGTTAGCTCATTAAATCTCTGAGAAGACTGTTAATTTAGTTGGAGGAATAGTATTTATCATATTTGGATTAATGCATACTTATGATTTAATGACAGGAAACTTAGATTGATAATTATACATCATATTGATAACAATTTAAATTATTCATCTTCTTTCTTAAAAATATTACATATTTATCAATTTAAGATACTAATCTCATTGGAAAGGTCAAAAATTATTTGTATTTATTTAAGTTAGATGAAGACAGAGCAAATAATAAAAAGCTTATAAAACTTGAATTGTTTATAAAAAAAAAAGAAATCTTATTTTTAAATAAATAATGGGAAAGAAGGAAACAAAAGATAAAAAGCCTGCTTAATTCAAGTATTTCATTTGTAAATTGCTTTTAGAAAGATCTATGAGTTATTATCAAAATACTAACAAGTGATTATAGTTGGATTAGCTAATGTTGGATCCAAATAAGTATAAGACATTAGAAGAATATTGGCTAAAAGAAATGCTCTTCTAGTCATAGGAAAGAATGTATTGAACCATATCTATATTTAGACATTATTTAAAAAAGTTTTGGCAACAAGAGTGTAAGATTTACCAGAAACCCATGAATATTATGATGAATTGAAGAAATTTGGAGCTGCAATTAAAGAATTAGATGTCTTAAAAAATTAAGTAGCTGGTAAAATAGGATTCATATTCACCGATACACCGGTCTTTGATCTTAAATCTGTCATTGAAGAAAATAAGGTTGAAACACCAGCCAGAGTTGGTGCTATTGCTCCAATTGATGTTGTTATTCCACCTGGTCCAACTGGTATGGATCCAGCTTCAATTTAATTCTTCCATGCATTACAAATTCCAACCAAAATTGAAAAAGGACAAATTTAAATTACTAAAGACTTTGTTGTTTTGAAGACAGGATAAAAAGTTGGTTAATCATAAGCTGTTTTATTATAAAAATTGGGAAAGAAACCATTTTTATATGGTATGGAAGTATTGGCTTGTTATGATAATGGATCTATTTTGAATAAATAATAAGTATCCGTTAATTTGAATGATATTCTTACTAAGTTCCAAAAGAATGTGACAAACATTTCTGCAATTTCATTAGCTAATGGTATTATGTTGTATTATATAATAAGGCTGGGTGAATGAATCTTCAGCTCCATATGTTTTGGCTAATGCTTTCAAAGATTTGGCTGCCATTGGATTACAATCAGGATTTATTTTTGATCAAATCAAATAATCAAACGCTCCAGCACCAACCTCAGCTCCTGTTGCTGCCAAGGTTGAAGATAAACCAGTTTAATAAGCACCAGCCAAAGTAGAAGAGCCAGAAGAAGATGTTGATATGGGTGGCTTATTCGATTGATAAAGTATAGTAAAAATAATAATATAAAATACAATGAGTTTATTAGAGAAATTTCTTGAAACTTAGAATGATCTCTCGAGTTCTCAATTATTTGCTGTTAATCTTAAATGGTATCTAGTCTAAAAATACAATAAATAGGTTCGAGTAATTTTAGGAGGAATTATTTTGTTGCAATTCTAATTTAACTTAGATCGATAACTATTCTCTCTGGTAACTCTATCAATAATCTTTATAGTATTTGTTAGGAAGAATCGATACAATTAAAAGGTTTGATTGCAAATTTCAAAATAGAGTTCAACATTGATCCTCAAATAATATAATTAAATTCGTAAGAGCAAGTTCTCAAACCTGATAAACGTTATCAGGTTCATTTCGTTTGCTCTGAATTATGGAATTTCCTTATGAAATATGTCAAAGGAGGTCTTTATTATGATAATTCTTTTATAGGTCCATGTATACCACTATATACCATTGGAATACAAGAGATTAGAAAAAGTAATATTCATGACTTTACATTTCTGTCGTAACACGATATTTAAGAATTGCCAAAGTGTCTCGTAATACCTATAGAGATGACACAAATGGAGTTTTTGATTTAAAATGAAAACGATTCTTTTACTTATATAACTAAGGTTGTACCCTTAGCTTTTACAATCGAATAAGTTATAAATAAGATACTTTCATAACAATTCAACATATCAAATTATTTGTGCTTTAACTAAACAAGCAAAAAGGTCATATTAAATAAAACTTCGACTTTAATCTATGAATTGGAATTTAAATCTCTATGGTTTTTTAAACCTAATAAGAAGGACATTGAATTTTCAGAAAATTTAGATGAAATTACAATAATGTAGGATTTCCAAAATCATATACCTGGTTCAACAGAATCAACAATTGAATCAAGGGAAATCCAATCAATACTAGACAGTTCAAAATCACATGAATTTGAAGATGATACAAATCCCAACAATAACAGCAATTTGAGTATAATATTTAAATATTTAGTGTTGAGAGATATAAATGAATTCAAAAATGAAATTGAATCTATTCTATAAAATCACAAAAACTACCCACTTATATTATTAAAGGAGGAACAGGCTATTGAGAATATAAATCAAATCATTTTGTAGATTGAGTAGGAAAACTGTTTCAAAAAAGAATAATAAGAAGAAGGTACTAATGATGAACTTATTGATTATTAAGATATTTGATTTCATTATAAATCAATCATTTTTAATTAATTTTTTAATTCTATCATTTATTTAATATTGATTTTTGAGATGTTGATTACATAATTCTCTTAGAATTTTATCTGTTATCTCTCCATTCTCATTAAATTCAACTTCTTTATTTGATAATCTATTTCCAGAAATTAATTCTAAAATCAATTGTTAATAATCATCAATTAAGAATTTAAAACATTTTAATTTACAAATAGGACATTTCCAAATTTTTTTGTCTTTTTAATTATCAATTGCAATAATAAAATTCTCCAAATCAAAACATTATAAATGATTACAAAATCTACCTCTAGCTGGAATATTAATTAATTATAAAGTAATAGGACATAATAGACTGATTTTAATTGATTTTATTTTTACATCCTTTTTTGTAGAGCATTCTTATTTGAATAATTTAAATGAATCTTCTATACTTAAATAATTTTTATGATATTATTTAATATCTAATAAGAATTCTTTGGCATTCATTTAATTAATGGAAAATATACCTAAAAAATAAATACATTAATGTTATATTCTAAATTATTTTTTCAATTCTTCATTAGATTTATATTCAATTAAAGTAATTTGATTCTATTCATTATATTTGATATAATTAGTTATATTAATGGAATTATCCTTGCGTTTCATAACACGATAATTTATGCTTAAAGGTTTAAATTCAGTAATTTTTACACCATTTATTTACAATTCCCCATAATCAGGCCAAGTAATTTCATTTAATCCATCTTTACCATCTATTCTTAAACATCTAATCTCTATTTGAGATCCTTTATGTTTGAATGGACAATTAAATAAAAAATGTTTCTCATTTTTTAATTGAAGAAATTATTGAAATGTAGATTAAACTATTTAATCAATAACTTTATTTTAAGGATTTAGCATTACAATAGTACAATATGGACATGTAAAATCTTGTATATTTTTATTTATTTGTAAACAAAATCCATGAAAATTCTATTAACAAAATTTGCATATTAGAACTTTGGAAGTATTTAATTTAGTTTTGATTTATTCATATAAACCTGGTTATGAGTGACAATAGCATTTTATAAAGTTATCATTTTTTTGTGTTTCATTTTAGTTATCATTATTAGATTGAGAATTTCTCAATTAATTTAATAATTATTATTCTTTATCTTTAATAAGCTTTAATCTGTCACGAATAGTTTCATAATAGATATGTATTTATTTATTAATAAATTTTGTGAGTTCTTCTAAGATTGAATAAGATTTAATTATCTTATCTTCATAATAAAACATTGTTATTGTAATCAATTATCCTAAATATATGGGTCTTGCTGGATTAATATTAGTAGATTATAAACTACATTTTCTCATTCTTAGTAGATGACTTAATAAACTTTCAGTTAATTTTGGGATGAATTGTTAATCCTATTTATATTTATTACCACCTAAACATTTAATGATATCTTGTTTTTTTTAAAATGAAATTTGATCTACTTTCAATTCAACACAACCTTATCTAATAAATTCAGGAACTTTGAATTCAATATCTTATTTTATTGTTAAGAGCTCCTTAATAATTTCTTCTTGAAGTTAATTATTTTAGTTCATTTTTTAAATAATTCTACAGTAATTAATAAAGATTATAATTTTTAATTAAAATTTTAAGCAAAAAATAATAAAATGTGTTGGTTTAATGAAAGTTGAACTAAAAATTTGAGTTGAATTAATAAATTGTAATATACAAAGACAATTGAGATAGATTTCATTATGTAATATTAGATTAAATAATTGTAAACTTAATCAGAATCATCAGCATTTATAATGGAAGAAGGAGTAGGTGAATTTATGTTTGATATGATCAGCAACTACATGATTAAAATAAAAAGTAAAAAAATAAATAATCAAGAAAAGAAGTTAGAATGAATAAAGAGTTTTTTAGAACATGTTTTATAGCTTTGGAATAAGTTTAATTGTTTGAATAAATAAAATGTTTGATAGTAGAACTTCAGGGTAATAATTTTAATAATATTATTATAGATTTGTGAAGGTTGATTTCTATGCATTTCTTAGAACAAATTCAAGTTCAGAATATTTTAATAGTTTTATTGAAATTTTAGAAGATCATTATGTTTAGAAAATATTAGAAAATAAAAAGTTAAATAAAAAGTTAAATATTGAGAGATATAAGAGTTATGCAAGAAGTAATGATCTTAGAGAAGTTATTTTAGTTATTTCGATTAGATATAAAAAAAGTAGATTATGGAAAAAAAAACATTGAATTTTATCATAGTTTAGGCAATAAGTGATATGGCTGTAAGAACCAAAATCCAAAAGTAAGGAGATAATGGCTGAAAATGATTGAGAAAATTAAGAATAAGGATGGAGAAGTGTTTATTATCTCTAATTTATATCCTTCTGGTAAATAACTTAACAACTATACTGGAATATCAGCATTTTTATATGTTTTAGTCTAGTTTGATTATGAAAATGTAGAAGAAGAAGGGGATTAACAAGTGGATCAATAAATTCATTTACATTTAACATGATTAAGATGAATACAAAATAGATATAGCTATTAAAAGTAAGTTGAAGATTTTACATAGAAAATGGTAATGATGATTATATTTAAATGTTAATATACAATTATATAGATAAAAAATATAACATCTCATCTTCTGCTATAAGGATACTTCTTTCTAGCTTTATATAAACCAAGCTTTTTTCTTTCTACTTATCTACTATCAGTTCTAGTTAATAATAATTTTCTAAATATTCCCTTGATACTCGGACACATTTTTACAATGGCTCTACTTAAAGCTGAACATATGCATTGAGATTATGCTGACTAACTACCTCCTCTTATTACACTAATGATTTTAATTAGATTATTTACACATTGACATCAACTAAACATGACAAATGAGCTAATTCTAAGACTCTTAATGCTGTTCTTCTATAAAATGGATGAGTAAAGTAATTTATTAAATTCTTACCATTTATTGTAACTTCTCCAACTCCTTTCTTTAATTATACATAACAAATTGAAGACTTTCTTCTACCTCTTCCTACATAATAAAGTAAAGAAGATTCACTATAATCTTTTTCTATTAATTAATCAATCTAAATTGCACTTTTTTCTTTGAAATCTTCAATCTTAACTTCTTCTTCAACAACATCCTTAAAATCTGGATCTACATCATCAGCCATCATTGCTGTGCTTGGTACTTCATATGTATATGGATTTGTATTATCACCAAAGGCTTATAATCCATCATTTATTTATTCTCTATTCAATTTGAAAATATTTGTTAAATAATGATGGAAAAATTCTAAATTACTAGGTTGTTGGAATTCTTTATATAATTCAATTGAAAATTGATATTCATCTTATTTCACTTCATCTACTTTTTCCTAAAATAATTCTTTAACACTAACATATGATTATATTATACTGTCTATTATATGGTTATTTTTTAATGTCAACAAATGTGTCTTATTATTTATTGAGTTTAATTTCAGGGAAGATAGTCTCAAATGAAGATTTAAAATCTTTCCAAAATAGACTTTATCCTTTAGTTTTCTCTAAATCTTAAAATACAGATTCATATCCTTTAATTTTATTATTTGGATCCTTATACAAATCTTTTATGAATTTAGGAGCACCTAATAATAAAAAGTCAATATTATCAATAATATCTTAAAATTTGACTGGATCATTAATTCTTTTATCTATTTATTTTGCTTTCATTTAAAGTGTTAAGGATTATTTATCTAAATTTTTAAAGTATTTTCTTAATCGTTTTAATTCTAATTCTTCTTGATCTTTAGCATTTATTAATTTTTTTGGTTCTTTAGGTTCTTATGATTTATCAGCTAATCTTTTCAAATAGGCTCTTTTAACAAAATTTAAATTAACTTTATCAACAATAGACTATTCAGTTTATAATGCTTCTTAACCATCAGAAGGTCTTATATATCTCATTTTTAATAATCGTTCATCATCTGATATTTCTTCAACAGTGCATCCAGATTCATAGAAATCAAGTTCTTTTAGATAAGCTTTACCAAAAGTGAGTTATTGATTTTTATCATTATATTTTGGATCATAAATTTAAAAATCTTATAAATCCTTTTACAAATTTTCTTTTGCCATCTCTTCAGCTACTGCATTAACAGAATTAGTATCTATATATTTATTTAGAATTGCTTCATCAGTTAATTTCTTATCAAAATCTTAAGCATCATCACCTAAAATTTTCTTTCTTTCCTCTTCTGGTAATTTTTTAATTCCTTCTAAAAATCTATCAAAAACAACTTTTCTTGCTTTTGCTATATATTCAGGTGCTTCACTTTTAACCAATAAATCTTGAGATGTTTGTAATAATTCAGTTTCTGACATTACTCTCTATATATTTAAAATATACAAATACCATTTAAGATAACAATCCTTAAACTTTACGATTATATTCTGCTTCATATTGTTGTCCTCTTTTCATCTTGATATCATAAACAAAGTCATCAAAAAATAATCCTAAAGGACAATTAGTTTCTTCATCAATGTAGACATGTTTCAATACATTTTATAGTAAATCTTAACTATTCTTTTAATTCAATTCCAATTTCATTTCCTATTTAGGCTACATCTCTCTTACTCGTCTATTTTTAATTAATTTAAATACTATGTCACTCTACTTTTAATTTTTCCCAATTTCTTCTTATAAACAGCATGCAATTGCTTTTGTGAATCATCATAGGATGTAATCTTAGGTCTGTATGCCAAGTCCTCTTTCTCTGGATACAATGGAGGCAACACAAAGAAATTTCGTTGAGCTACACAGAACCTCACTCTGCTCACTAATTTGAGCATAATTATTTAAATAAATTATTTATACCTAATTTATATAGAAATATTAAAATTATTACATTTATTCAATAATTAAAATAAAAAGATGCGAATACCCTAAGCTTATTTTGAGAGCATGGTTAGAAGATATAAGAAATCTAAATATGTGGATTAAACTGATTACTCTTGGATTGAAACAACCAAGAAGCCTTTTGTCGAAAGAATTTAAGATTTTGCATAATGCAAACAATTGTAGAATCCCATGTATACACGCATTATTTGTGAAACAATTGACACAATATTTAAAGCAGCAGTAGCTTTATTTCAAGACCAAGATCAAACCCTCTGCATTTAATTGCTGGGTGAATCTGATTCTATTTAAATTTGGGATTTGTGTTTATAGTGTTGTGATTACATAATCAAATCAGCAAATTAGAAAATAAGTATTTCAATTTAAATAATTTAAAGTTGATATGTTTTTTAGTTATGAATATATTTTGACACTAATATTTCACAATCCAGATTATGAAATATAAAAAATATATAAATTAGTATAATGCATGTAATATTTGATTGAATCAATGAATTAATCCAAATATTGTAAATTTAAAAGTAATTAATTAAATTATATATCATAGTTGAGTAATTTGAGAGAATCTTTATAAGATTCATGTATATTAATGCATTTTTTTAAAAGAATATCTACAATTTGTCAGATTAAGAATATTAAGAATTTTTTTAATATACAATTGATAATTACAATCTCAAAATAACTATGCCAAATGAAGATATGAATAATTATCAAAGATATTTGGAAATGAGCAATCTCAGAAAAATACTAAAGTCTCCACCTATAATTTTAGATATTCCTTTTGATTAATCTAAAAATCCATTAGATTAAAGTTAATAGATTGCAACAGAAATTAAAGTCTAAAAAGACAGTATTCTATTTGATTAAATCTATATTCGATTGTTATGTTAATATTCTATTGATGAACAATTATTATAGAAGATGTTCATAAGTAATTATATATTTCATTTTAAATGTACTTTCTCAGAATTACAATTAATTAATCCTAAATTTATGACAGATATTAACAATAGATTAATAGATTAAAAGGACTTTTTATTTTTATTAATAAGGATGATTGCTAGTAAAAAGGATGAATATTTAGAAGATACATTAGTAGAGAGTCTCAAATTCATTAAATCAAAGCAAATTTAATTATATGAACATAATACATTCTTAGATAAATTGTGGTTATTTGAATTATAAGGAATTTAAGACACATTAATTTGGTGGAAGAAAGAACTATAAATAACTGAAGGGTACTTCTATGATAATAGAATGAATTTAAATGTTAAATTTTAATAATTGTTCTTTTAATAATTATGTGATCAATAATTTACTTAGATATTCAAAAAATAACCAAATTATACATAATGGAATTTTATAATTATTCAAATCATTAGAAAATCATTTGGATAAGATGGAGAAACTAAATTACCATATTATATTTTAAATCCAATCTTAAGTTATTGTGTTAATCTCATTATTGAATTACCAGGCAATAATCAAAATTAATAATTAGATTATCAATTAGAAAGTTAAATAATTTAGGGATTAATAGAAATTCTTAAGTATTGTAATAAGAAATCCTAAATTCAATTATAAATAAGAGCATTTCAATTGTTAAATTAATTGGTTACATACTATAAACAAGAATTTGATTAAGTGTAGATATAAAATGCTTAATCTGAATTTTTGATGCCAGTTCCTGAAAGATATCATAAATTGCTTACAGAAATCTGGTCTAACAAGATTTTAGAAGATACTTTACATTCTGCTGAACTCAATGAAACATTATACACTTATTTAATTACTTAATTAGCCATAACAATGGGAGAGAATCCTGCTAGAGTAAGATAATTCTGTGAAAACAATAGTTTATAATATTTAATCAATAGAATATTTGATTTATTAAAGATATGCTCAAGAGCATCTCCATTAATTGTAACAATTATAAATTTGTTAATTGCAATCAGTACAAATGAATAAGCAATATCATTATCATAGTCATCAAATAATAATGAAGATAAATAAGAAAAAGATAATTTAATTAAAAGAGTCTTTGTAAAATGTTATTTGCCTTCAACTGAACTATTAAATGATCCATCTGTGAGTGATGATTTTGCAAAAAAGATTATTATGTTATATAGTTAAAGTGTATTGGCAAAAAAATAAATAGAGAAGGTTATAGAGAATACATTTGTTCAGATTTCATAATTAGTAGATTTAAGTAAAGATAAAATAGAGGAAATAGTTAGTAATTAAGATAAATTACAATCTTTTTATAGTTCTTCAAAAAGTTTGTAAGCATTATTACAATTATTTATGCAATTACAACCAGAGAGGAAATCATCATATCGATCATTTTAAGGATACGAAGAGTTATAATTAGAAGAAGCTTAAAGATAAAAGGATATTTTATTTAACTCTCTTTTAAAGAATTAAAAATTTGTAGAAGCATTAGAGAAGATTATAATGAGTCCAATACTTATAGGTAGTAAAAATAAGGATAGATATGTCGAACATTATGTTGGTATTTTATGTAAGAAAACAAAATTGAATCCTTATACTTCTTTATGGAAGGAATTAGATTTAATTTCTTAAAATTATATGGTTATAGGTGATTAAAAGATTATAGATATTGGAAAATTAGTAGATTATGATGCTTTGTCTATCCATATGAGTGACAAATATTTTTTTAGAAAAATAATCAAACATATATCTCCTTAAACTTATAGAGGATTTTATATACTAAGTCGTTTCCACTTGATTCATTATTTAATTAAGATGTGTATTAATTAGGGTATACCATAAAATTAAGATAGTCATTTAATGATTTCTTAATTATTAGAAATCTATTTTCTATCTTCATAACATGCAGGTTTTCATGAATCCATAATGATGTTTATGTCTGCTAAATAATAAATTCAGAAAAATTAGACTAGTTATGATGAAGACTCTTAAATAAGGAGAAGAATTAGTAAGGATAATTTAATACCATTATAATAATCATGTTTGGATTTGATTAGTAAATTATAATAACAAGTTGAATAGAAAGACTTTGTGATTAAGAAATATGGAGAAATAACTTAATTATTCTTCTAGAATTTTTAAGAAAAGTGTCAATAACTTAAATAAGCTTAAGGAATATAAATTATTTCAATTGTAACTTATTTGTAAGATATGTTAAAATCATTCAAATTTCTTTAAAATTTATTTTTGAATTTAGAACAATAATATTAACCATTATAATTTGCTGTAATCTGTTTCTAGAACAGTAATTTCTTTTTTTAATTGATTGAAATTATATAATATTTGGATAGTATATAAAGATAATAATAATTTAATGGTACAAAAGAATAAGAGATTATAAGAAAGATTTTGCCAGGATTTATAGAAGCTATACATTAACATATAGATAATATTATTAAATTATTAATTTTTAAGAAGATTGTAATAGACAAGATATAATTATCAGATTAATTAATTTAAGATAATTAATAATTAGATATTGTATGTAATGAAATCTTTGTAGCTTAAGCATCAATACTTAATTAAATGATTGATCTATTACTCTATAATAATTGTGAAGGTAATTTAAAGACTTTATTAGAATAATTAATATAAAAGTTTTATTCAATAAAAGATTTTTAAGTATAAGAGATGAGAAAGATAGCTGGAACTGAAACAAAAGAATAATAACTAATTGGAAATAAAGATATTAATTAAATTTTAACTGGAAATGATATACAATAAGAATAGAAAAAATCATTATTTGATAGACTTGAAATTAAAGCCATTATAAATGATTTATGTGATATGGGATTCAAATAATAATTAATCAAAAAAGCTATTTAAAGAATTGAAATTCCTGAACCTACTATGATAATTGACATGTTAATTAATGAGAGAATTTCTGATGATGAAGAAGAATAAGAAGAAACTTTTGATCAAATGTTAAAAAATACTGAACAAAATCAAGAAATATAAAATTAATAAGATTAAGAAAAATTAAAGATGGAAACTGAAATATAAAAAGAACAAAATGAAATCTAAGTTTTGGATTAAGAATAATTCATGAAAATTTTAATATAAAATTTCCCAAAAGCTAATACATAATAAAATATTTTGGAAAGATTTTTAACCCTAATTAATGATTTTTAATAAAAATTAGATACTAATCTTAGTAAATAATTAGATTAAAATTTGAATAACCCAAAATCAAATGGTAATTTATTAGAATATTTATTTACTATTGCAAAGAAATCATAACATATAAATAAGATTATAGAATATATTTTTATGATCTTTTGTTCCTTAAAATAATAAGATAAATGTTCTTAAGATTTAAATGTTACAATGATTCAATATTAAAAAGCATTAAAATGGCTGAACTTATTATCATAGATTGCTCCTTAAGAACATGAAAAATTATATTAGAATTTAGCTTTAATAGATCAAGAATCACAATAAAAATATGTACTCTCATTTTAATCAATGATTACATTTGGTTTTGCATTATCTAATGATATCTTTGATTAAATAAAAAAAATTGGATAATTAGAATTGGATTAATTAAAGCAACTTAATATATCAGAATTGACTTATCAAGAAATATGTTAATAAACATAAACAATAACTAATAATCTTAACATATTATTTGAAAATAAATAAACTACATTAAAATTATTTTGTAAAGAATTATTTGAAGCATAAAAGTATCTTACAAAGTTTTTCTTAAATTTATAAAATAAACATGATTAATTAATTGAGAGATATTGGAGTTAAATACTTATATATTTAGAATTCTTAATTTAAGTTTGTACAATTAATCTAGAATTACAGGAATAGACATAAGAAATTTATAGTTTCCTTGATGAATTAGATACACAAATTAATAATAATTAATAATTAAAATAATAAAGAGATTAATCACAAAATATGATTTATTTGAGATAATTTATACAAAGAAGGTTTATTTTTGATAAATAATTAATCACATAATTATTACAATGTTTAAATAATTTTGGATTGCATAATCAAAACAAATTGTTTAATATATTAACAAAAAATTAATCAAATAAAAATTAATCATTATTAGACATTCTGTTATAATTAAAATTTTATACTAGTCATTTAGAATATGAGGAATCTTAACCTGTATTTCTTGAAAATTTAATATATCTAGTTGCAATTGACAATAAAACTACAACTGATTTAGTTTTCTAAATTTTAAAATAAGTAATGCTTAATGAACATATAGATTGGCATGCTTAATAATTAAAAAATATTGAAGAACTCAATTAAATACAATTTCCTTAAAAATTTATTGAATGCCCATTATAATATTTATTATAACATCATCCTGTTTTAATTAATAACCCAATCATCTATAATTTGATAATAGAATAATAAGGCTTATCAATTACAGATAAATTTTCTGAATTACAAAGGATTCATTATCCTAAATAATAATTCCCTCAACCAACAGGAAAATTAACAAAAGAATAAGAAAGATTATTAAAAGAGAGAGAAAAAGAATAATAAAATCAACCTTAGACAGATATTGTTATTAGATATGAGATTGAACAATTAATAGAGCCATAATTGAATGAAAATTTCATAGATTTAGTAAATATAATTGCATAAAAAACAATAGATAGATTTTTTGAAGAGAATTGTATTTTGATAGAATAAATATTTAAAGTTTAAATTAATCAATATAAGGATGATAATAGAATTTATCTTTATGGTTGGGATTAATTATTGAGAATAATTGAAATGCTCATTATTAAAATTCCCTAATTAGTATTATATTTAAGAGAATATTAATTCGTTTTACCTTCTCAATTAAATATAGATCAGAAAAAGATTACTTTCATAGAATTTGTGATTAAGTATTTGACTTGGGTAGGTGGAGATAAATTGGCTAATTTTTTGCATAACTATCTAAGCGACATCAATTTGTTATCATTTGGATATGGAATTAATATTGCATAAGAGGTTCTATAACTATTATTGAATGAATTGTATATAGATATGAATTAGGATTAGATGATATAAAAATATTATCATATCTTACAATTATTAATATTATTTACTTAGACATTAACTATGTAGAATTGTTGTATGATATTAACAGATTAACGATCATAATTAAATATAATCCCTTAATTAATTGATACTTTGAATACTGTTAAAAATTGTGAAAATAAATAATTTGTTAAGATATATCAATAAACTATAGCTAAAGTATTAGAGCCATTCTTGTAATCTTAAATATACTATGATCACATTAAATAAGGTAGGTATGGTGAAGTGTTCAGATTGTAGTAAAGCATTACTGATGATCCATTTAAATATCATTATTTACATTGTCTAAAAAATCAATTGGTTTGTTATTCTTTGTATCCAAATTTTAAGAGTTCCACAGGATCAGCATAACATTTCATTTCTCATTCATAAGTTTAATAAACATTGAAAGATGAAAACTAATAAGAATTAATTTGGCCACTCCATTAATCAAAAAAAAATTATAATAATTAAAGATAGAATAATTAGAAATAATAAGAAGAGGATTTAAGTGATTCTGATTCAGATTAAGATATTCTTTAAGTAGATAATAATTAAATCAAATACAAAGTTAATTATTCAAATATAAATTACTGGGGTTCAGATTATTATTATTATGACAATAATGATTTCATGTCTAAATACAGTATGAATCGAGATGATGAAAGAATGTAACGTGATAATTAATAAAGCATATTTCCTTAAAAAGATCTTAATATCTTATTTTGTAAAGTTGATCCACTTAATATTAATTTCAATTTACCAAAATTATAAATTACAAAAGAAAACATCTAATATCATTCTAATGATTATAAATAGTCAATCACTTCAATAGTAGGATTATATTATAGTTCAAATGAATACTTTGAAAATAAAAAGTCTTTGATTTCTAAATCTTATGAAAATCAACTCAAAATCACAGTTGAATTTATTAATTAGATCAATAGGATATTATTATCCACAAATTATTATAGAAATAAATAGAATGATTCTATCCAATAATATCTCTCATATTATTTAAATGGAACACTTAATAACCTATAAGTTTAAACAAGTGTTTCTTGTTTCTATTCTAAATTTGGTTAACCTCCTAATTAATTATAACAAGATTACCAAGCAAATTAATTATCTATTAATATTAATGAATCAAAATAATAACAAAATAGAATTTTATGTCAAATATCATGTAATATTCTGTAAAGTAGAGTAGTTTTGAATGGGATGCCAAATGATTTACAAGATTAAAATTTACTTAAAGGTAAGCTTTAGAGTTTATTAAAAACTGAAGATAATCTTATAATTCAACCATTAATCTTATAAATTCCAAAAAGTTAAATATTATAACCTGATCCATAAAAATTATTCATCTATGATAATTTGTTTCTTGAAATATTCATTAATCTACTTCAAGATACAAATAATTTCCCATAATTTCCCTTTAATTTATTTAGATAGATTTGCAAATGTTCTAGACTTGGATTCAAATTATTAATTTAGCTACTATTATTATTTTAGGAATAAAAAAACAATTTAGATTTAACTTTGAAAATCTTGTATCTTGTAAGTCAAAAAATCCCATCTACTATTCTTAGAGATTTACTATCTGAATAATTATAGGTGAGTCCTATCTTAAATAGAAGAGAGAAAGCTAATCTTGCCAAAGTCTAAGAAATAAAGGAACAATTTGTGATTGAAGAAGAAGAAAATTTAGAAGAATAACCTCAAGATGAGGATCCTGAAAATCCACTAGTCTTTTTAATTAATTAACTTAATACATATTGTGAAAAAAATATTTAATTTATGAAACTATTTCATAATCCAGAATCTTATATACCTTTAGAAAAAAGTAAATTTTTTTTTTGATATTTTAGATATACTCTTAACTCCATTATTAGCAAACTAAACTGGAATGCATCTGTCTTACTTGATTTAAATTATCAGAGGTTCTTTAATCATTAATAGCGAAGAACCAAAGGATAAGAATAAAAAGTATGATGAAGATTATTTTTTAAAATTTTAAAGAAGATAAGCCAATATTTTTACTAATAATAACAAAGAAGAATCTAATCATAAGTTATTTGATCTCGTCTCATAACTCAATAAACATGAATAAGACATGAATTTTGAAGAAATGATTTTCAAAACATTTGGAGATAGATATTCAGATAATTAATAAGATTAATGGGAATCATAATCTTATTTTAGTAAATAGCCATTTTCTTTTAGATAAAATGAAATATAATAATAATAATAATAGTAGTAGTAATAGTAATAATAATAATAATAGTAATAATAATAGTAATAATAATAATAATAGTAATAGTAATTATAATTGTAATAATAATTGTAATAATAATTGTAATAATAATAATAAAGATTTAATATATAAAATTCATCCGTCTTTTCAATACCCTAACCTTCATAATAATCATTATTTCAAACACTTCCAAAACATGCTCTTCCTCCAATACCATCTATATCATTACTTTAGTAACAGCATCAATCATTATAATAATACCAATAATAACGTCAAAATAATTAGTAAAATTCCCAATAATAGCCAGCATCTCAGCATCAGCAAGTTAATTAATTTTATGATAAATTTTTTAAAATTAATGATAATTAATAAGATTAATTTTAATCATATCAATAATACTTTAAACAATTTTATGATAATATTGTCTAATAAAGATTACCATAATAAGGTCAAGAATAATAAGAATAATAATAGAATGAAATTTAATAATAATAAATTATTAAAGAATAATAATAATAATATCAATTCTAAAATGTATCTGAAGAGTTGGATGAATCAGATTAAAAATAACAAAAAAGAGAGAGAAAGGTAAGTGCAAAGATATCACATGTAGAAATAGATATAATTACAGCATTATGTAAAATTCTTAATAATCATTTACTTAGAGATTGCAATTCTACTGAAATTATTAATATACTCAATACATATGCAAATGATAGATTAAAAATAGAACATGCTATAAATGAATTGACAAAATACATAATCTAATAATCTAAGATATTTAATTTCGAATTAGATAGAAAAAGAAAATAAATTAGAGAAATTACAAGTTAACTTGAAAAGGTATCTGAGTATGATCCAGAAAGATAATAATAATTGTCACAATAAGAAAATGAAATTATCAAAGAACTAAATTTAAAAACTCCCGACCCCAGTATCATTTAAAGATGTTTTATAGCAATAACAGGATTTTTGAATCTTAATTTCAGTACATCAGATTAACAAAAATAATCTACTAATAAACCAAGTTCAACATAAACTAGATAATAAATTTAATTAGATAAAAAGAATTTTAAATTAAATTAACAAGGGAAATAAATAGATGATACACAAGAAATTGATATGTTAACTAAAAAAGATATTAGAAAATAATTCATTAATGTATTATAAACAAGATAAACTCATCATTTGTGGCTTAATGTTGTAGAGACATTATTATTAATTTTCAATTGTAAAGGTCATAAATCAATAGAGTTATTATAGAAAAAACTATATCCACTTTTAGAATGTTTTCTAAGGCTTTACTAAAATGTACATGAGGATATAAATACTTCAGATACTATTTTATAAGGTGTTGCTGATCCAAACTTTTTTGAGCGTAATACAAGTGGATCTGCAACTAATTCATTATAATTTGGCTTATTACAAACTTAGAACATTCATTTGAAACGATCATTTTCAGCAGTTCGAAATGAAAATGAAATGTAAATGAAAATAGATGAGTTATTCACTTATCTTTGTATTAATGGTAAAAGTCTAATAAATCATTTGATATCATAAAGGCTTCATTAGGTTACCATAGAACAGAAATAGAGCTAGAATTCAAATCTCATTAAATTATTCAAAGATACTGATCCTTTGGCTTTTGTTTTCTTTAAAATGAGCTAAATAATTTCTTTTGAGAATAAAAAACACTTATTTGAATTAGATTTAGAGACCATCAAAATAAGTGAAAGACCTAATGCTCGTTCAAAAGGCAGATAAAATGACACTATTGAAATTAATGTTGTTAGAGAAACAAGACTATAATAATCTTTGGAAAAAGTTATTAATATTGATAAGACAAAGTTTAGAAAATGTGATATAAAAATTAGATATCAAGGAGAAAGAGGTTAAGATGAAGGAGGTATTAGAAAAGAGTGGATGACTAATCTTGTTAAGGATATCTTATAAACAGATAAATTTGAATTAACACCTAAAAGATTTTACAAAATTAATCCAAATAAAAAAGCTTAAGAAGACTTGAATCATTTTAAACTATTAGGTAAAATAATAGGTAAAAGTATGTATGATGGATTACTTTTACCAGTATATTTCATTTCTCCTATTTTTAAGCAAATACTATAGAAAAAGCCTAGCTTTGATGATCTTGAACATTATAATGAAGGATATTATGATACTTTTATTAAATTTTTAAATGATGACACATAAATTTAATATAAAGATTTATTTGAATTTTGGATTCCAGAAGAGTATGCAAATCTAATTGAATAAAATAAAAAGTTAATATTTGCTGATCTACTTTAGGATTATATCGAAAAGAATCCTATTGAGATTAAATAAGAATCTGAACAATAATAATAATAAAATTAGGAATAAGATTAAATAAAATAACAGGAATAATAATAATAATAATAATAATAATAAGAACAAGAGTAATAATAGTAAAAATAATAATAAGAATAATAGTAATAATAATAATAATAATAATAATAATAATAATAATAATAATAATAATAGTAATAATAAGAGCAAGAATAATAGGAATAATAATAAAAATCTACATTTTTAGGTTTAGCATAATAAGAACAAGAATAATAGGAATAATACTTAAAATCAACATTTTTACGTTTAGAATAATAAGAATATGAATAAGAAAGATTATTTTAATACTAAAAATATTTATAATTTGAAGAAGAATTAAAGAAAGAATAATTATTATCTTAATAATAAAAATAGTAATTATTAGATTAATATTTAATTCCTGAAACAGAAAAATAACAATTAATTGCCCAGAATACATTATAATAAAAATAAGAGGAATTATAGCAATAAGAAGCATAATTATTAGAGCTCAATTTCGAATAATTTGAATAATAATAGTTATTATTATATCTATAATTACAGTAAGAGCAATAACTTTAATCCTAACAACTTATTGAAGAAGAATAGGTAAGAATTGAATAACAATAAAAATAATTGCAATAAGAAAATAAAGCAGAATCAGAAATTATAGTTCCACTCTTAAAAGTTTAGTAAGATGTAATATAGAAAACTGAAAAATTAGAATTTTAAATATAGAAATAAACTGAAGATATTACAGCTGAAGATATGGAAAATAGAGAGAAGAAAAGACTTATCAGAAAGAATAAAAAAAAACAGTTGAATGATGAAGTTTTAAAATATATAAAATTGTAAGACGTTTTTGAAAAATAAACTGCTCTTGTATCAATAAAACATAAAAGATTAATATGTGAATATATTAGCAAAAAGATTATGTTAGAGGAGATCAAAACTTAAATTTAAGCATTGAGAGATGGATTTTTTGATATATTACCAAAAGAGTTATTCTCTTACATGGATTGGAGAGATCTTTAAAAACTAATTATTGGAGTTCCTTCAGTAGATGGTACATTATTTTCATATTTATTTTAGTTGATGATCTATAAGCTAATACTGAATATATAAATTATGATAACAATAATTAAACAGTCTTATGGTTTTGGGAAGTTTTAAGTACTTTAAGTGACTCAGAAAAGGCTGATTTCTTAATGTTTGCAACAGGAAGTCCTCTAGTTCCATTTGGAGGATTTAAGAATTTAAGAGGTCCAAATGGTCCAAGAAAGTTCTCTATTTCAAAAGATTTCAATAAAGAACATTTTATAAAGGCTCATGCATGGTATCAATCTTATATATATTTAGCTTTAATCGTATTGATTTGCCAGAATATCCTTCTAAAGAAATTTTAAGAGAAAAATTGCTAAAATCCTTAAAAGACTCTGGTTCTGGATTTGATTTAAGTTGATAAATTAATAAAATTATTTCTTATAAATAAGTATTCAAGACTTTCATTAAATTATTCTACCAAATGGTTTACTTAGAAAATATTTTCTGTATTTTCTATAATATACAAAATATAACCCAACACTTGTCATTTAATATGATGTAATCATCATAGACACTACTATTAATTTTTATAATTAATTTTCAGTTTTTATACAAAACAGAGATCCTTCTTTATAATAAGTATAAAAATCTTAAAAAATAAGGGTAGCAGCTGAGATAAGTTCGCTCAAAATTATAATAAATACTTATTATTGTTAATTTTGCATATCTACTTATTTGAGATGCTCAAAATTACTAATTTGTTTTTAATATCTTAGCCTACTAAAATATTTATGTATATCAGCTAGTATATAAGATCCACAATATAGATTCATAATGTCAACAATGAAAATCAGAAATGATAAACAAATCCAAAATGATTAATCACAATAATAAAGATCTCCTTCTATGAAGTATATCATTGCCCATAAAATTAAAATTATGAACAATATAAAAATTTTAGTTCTTTTTTATAACTAGTATTCCTATTAAACATACATTTTCGTAAAACGAATGATTTTTATTTTGCATAATAATAAAGTTTTCTAATATTAAAATAACCGATAAGAGCCTTGAGATTCTAAGTGCACCCATAAATATTGTTAATTATTTAATTATAAATGCCAAATAAAGTAGTTCTAAGTCAATAATATTATTACATTAGAATGTAAATAAATAAAAAATATTCTTCTCTAGTTTATCTAATACATCATTAATGTCTTTTCTAATTCTATAAGATGCAATTAACATATTGATTAATAAAAATCCAGTTAGAAATGCTAAACATCCTTATTAAATAGAGAATTCTTAATTCATTTAATTAAATTACACAAATTATTTATATACAATTTAGTCAACATTCAGTTTAAATTCGAATTCTCTTCATTTCTCTACTAAGCATAGATGATTTATTTCGTATTAATGAATTGATATTACTGTTATTATCTGATGATTGATTATTTTCACAATCTTAATTTGTAACAAAAAAATGACTATATTTGATATTTAATTGATTTCTCGAAAAATAAGGTAAAGTTAATTATTTATTTTTAGTGATTTAGTTTTATTAGATTGGTCCAATCAAAGACTTTAGTTTATTTTTTATTCTGTTATTTTATCCATCTTCACATTAAGTAATAGGAGATGTCTCTAAATTACTTTGTTCATCAGAACTACGTAGAGTAGTCTACCTTATAAATAATTAAATTACTTCAATTTTTATTATTTTTGAGTCATCCTACTTGCTTTAAATTTATTCATGTTATTAACTTAATGAATTAAGAATGTTCTTGTTCCTTTATAGAATAAAAAGAAATGTTTACATATTTCTAAGCTTTTAAAATAATTAAAAACGAGACTGGCTTTATAGATTAAATGAAATCGCTTTATTCATTGCCCTTGAGTCCTCTAAATGCTTACTTAGATAACTCTAATACTCTTATGCAGATTTGTCTTATATTTAATACATTTTATTTAATGATGTATCTACGTATTCATATTTTTTTGTTTTATTCATTTAACAATGTTAAATAATCTCCCTTGACTTATTTTTATTCTTATGATTGTTAAGAAATGAATACATCAATAGATTTAGTAGAATGAATATCTTATTATTTCTTAACTTAAGGAATCGGTAAATCAATTCTACAATTCTGTTTTTTACTATACAATAATGCTAAACTTTTTTAGCATTTCATATCTCTCCACTTAATAAAGGCTTCTACATTTTTCCAATCACTTAATGGTTTTGTATATAACTTGTTACAAAGGGGTTACACTACTCCAACTGGTTCGCTTAATAGAATAATTCAGTATACTTGATAACAATAGGACAATGAGCTTTAATTTCTTTAATTAAACTCTTTCTTTGAGTTTTCATTTTTGATAAATATTAATTTAACTTAATTATTGTGTTAATTTTATATGATTTAAGTAAGAAATCAATTAAATTATTTATCACCCAAAACCACCAATATATTTAATTATACTATAATTTGTCATATGTCTTTTGCTTTTATTTTTAACCAATCCAATATCTGATCCTATATTTTTTATACTATTTAAATCTTTTGAGAAAGAAGGCTTTAATTTTATTTAATCTTCTCTTATTTTATTACTTTGTTAAAGTGATCTATTGCTTCTTGAATTTGATTACCATTTTACAAATGTCTTTGTAAAATTTGCTTTTGTCTCCCTTTAAGTTTATAAACCTGATGATGGAGTATATCCTTTAGAATACTTTCTTTCAGTTTATGATCTATGCATCTTGCTGATAAATATCATATATTTACAGATGTAAAGGTAATAGGAAAGCTGACTTATGGAATAGATTCATTTGATTATATATTATCAGTCAATTAATTTCTTTTTAGTCCTTTGTTTCTAATATAAATTAAAAAATGTTACAATAATTATAATTTTTTCAACAATTAGTCTTTAGTTAATTGTTTTAAATTAAATGTATGCTAAAAATTATCATCTATTTCATTATGTTTATCAAGAGATTTTTAGAACTTTGAAAAAGAATGGTCAAGAATTGATGACATCCTACTGTCAAATTATGATTCTTAGAAATCTAGTCTATGTTTTTATTTGTTTAATTGATTTTATCTTATTTGCCTCAATAAAAATGATGTACTCTAATTAATAAACATAAAGTAGTAACATTTTAAATTTTCTTATATTCTTCATTTTCAATATTTACATTTTATATTGTATCAAAAAATTGTTGATCTGATCTATGAATTTTGTATTGTTAACATAATTTAATTGCTAATCTTTTATCACATTTAAATAATCTGAGCTTTATAAATTGATCACAATCTGTCCATTCAATAGGTTTCCTAGAAAGATTAGGAAAGTCATTAATGTTAATTTTTTTATGTTCTTTATTTTATTTAAAGAGATTGTGTTCATAAGTTTTGAGTTCTTTTATAATACTTTTTTGAGGTTTCATCAAATTTATAATGATATTATATAAGAAATTAATAAAAAATATAAACTAAACTCAAATTATATTTGATTATTAATCAGAGAATTAAATTATAAACTAGATTTTTTTTTAATAATAAATATGTGAAATATAATAATAATAAATATATATATATTTATATATAAAGTTGATCTCATCTTAAATCGATTTAACTCTTTTATTAATAGGCATGTTTCATTTTCACTATTGCTTTTGATTAAGATTACTATATAATTAATATATTAAACTTACTTAATTGTCCCAAACTTCTTTAGAACTCTTAAGAAATACTTTGTTAATATCTTTTGGTTTTATTTGATTTTCAGGTGGTGACAACTATTATGACATAGCACTCTATATAAATCTCTTCTTTCCATTTTTTATTTCTGATTAAGTTTTACATATTTAATATGATGATAATAGATTTTTTTAATTTTTTGTCTGACTCTTAAATAATCTATCAGTTTAACTCTAAAATGATTCTGAATTTATATATATATATATAATTACAGTTATTAAGATGACCTTAAAGATCAAGATAACTTTTAAGTTTTTAAGTTGACTCATGTGATTTGTATTTACCTAAACCATAATTATCTTCTTTATAATCTTTTACTTGCATCTAATATAGTAACTAAATAATAATACAGCACTAATTGGTAAGTTAATACGATGAGAGAAGTCTTGCTGTCTTTATTCACAAGTTCTAAATTTATGAATTTAACATACTTTAAAATTCTTTTAGATTCTTTTTATGAACTTTCAGTATTAGCATTATATCTAATATTTGATGAACATCTTCTTTCTGGTGATTGATATTTATCTAAGCTTGGAATCAAAGTTCTTTTTGTATTTGAATCTTCAAGTGACTTTCTCTCTGTAGCATAATTTTTTGGTTTGGTTACTTCATTCTTAATTGGTGTAGTATTTTCTTTAAAAATTTCAGAACTCTAATGTAGTTTTTTATAAGCCTCATTGTTAGGATTTCTCTTTCCATTTAAAACTGTTGGATGCTATTTTTTACATGATGAATTTAGAGTCTCATAATTTTTTGTAGTCTCTTTCTTATTAGTTAATCTTAAAAACAGTTGATATTTGTCATATTATTCCATTATATTGGCTAACAGATAATATTTAATTATATAATTTATTATAGATTAATAAATTCAAAGAAGTTATTTAATATATTTCAATTCTTTATAATGATTCTTAAATATTATTTATATATAAATTATTAAAGATATATCATTACTTATTTATGAATGTTCTAAAAAATATTTTACATAATAAATTATAAATTTGTTTAAATCTAAAATATTTATATTTTCCTGGAAAATGAAGGTTCTTTTTTTTAATTAAATAATTCTAAATTTCTTGTGATAAATTATTCTAGGGTATTTAGATCTTAAATTGTGACATATTTTAAATGAAACTTATTTGAGAATGTAGTAAAAATTGAAAAACTGAAAAATTTTTATTCATAAATTTTAATCAGCTATTCTACATCATTTTTTTAAATAAATTCTAAATTATAGTTAAGCTTTGAGAAAATTCAAGATACAAATTATATTATATTAGACCTGAGGAATATAAATAATAATGAAATAAATCTAAAATAAATTATTTAAGTTAATGCATAGAATTCCTCAAATATCAAATTTATAAAAAGTTGAAAGAGATTTAATACTTTAATTAAGAAAATATTTTTGATTAGTTGTTGATTTATTCATATAATATAAATTATAATTATTTTATTGTATTATACCCAAATATTAAAACTATTAGTTTTTGATTAAAATACCAATAAAAATCATATATAATTATCTATTTGATCTTTAAATAATTTATCTTAAGTTGTTTCAATTTATTTTGTTATTTTCTTTTAGATTTTTACAAAAATAAAAAAATCAATTAATTTTGAACTCAGGTATAAAGAACACCTAAAATGATGGAATTTAAAATGATTGTAAAGAATAATTGTAAATTTATTTATTATAATAAAGTATTCTGGTTATATATGTAATTTTATATTGTACATTTTTTAAGGGCACATCATTTTTATATATTTTATATGAAATATATATAAAAATATTTATTATAAATTTATATAAAAGCATGTTATAACTTAAATGAAATAAACAATAAGATAAAAGAGATATCAAGATTTACTAATGAATATGAAATGTATTTGAATTATTATATTTTTGAATTGATTTTAAAAGAAGAATATTAAAAGTATTATTATTATAAAAAATTGTTTTCTATGTTTAATATAAAATTCATTCCATAAAAATTCTACCATATTTTATTCATATTGGATCAACACAAACTATTAAAATTTAAAGAGTATTAAAATTAAAGACATTATAAGATATGTAAAACTTGAATAATGGAATAGATATACTTAAACTAGGAAATTATAGACTGAATAGACATCATAAATTTAGTTTAAAGATATTTTTAAATAAAGGGGGTGTAGATGAAGGATATTAAAGTTCAAGGATAAGAATATAAATATATTAATAATGATAGAGAATTATTCTTTAGCCCTGATATGTTTTTTGGGAATTACTCTAAGTTAGATAATTTTAAGTACAATGGATGATTGCACATGTAGATAAATTACAAATGAAAATGATTGTCAGTATTTGTCTCCATACTGCTATTGGAATGGCTAATCATGCTCAACACCTTCCTGTTATGGTTTACCATAAGCTGATTGCGCTTAACTAGATTAATGTTATTTTAATGGAGTAAATTGTAATTAATTTTATCGCAATTATACTTGTGGACAATTGAATAGTACTGCTAATTTTACATGCTAATAATATAGTAAATTTTGTTTTGAAAGTTCAAGTGGATAATGTACAGATGAAGGTTATCAATTGCCCGCTAATTGTAATATGTATTAAAATTATACATCCTGCATTTAATCTTAATAAGGTTTGTGTTCATGGTTTAATGGTAATTGTTCCTATTATAGCAGTTGTAATTCTGTTCCACTTTAAATTTGTTAATCATATTAACCTTACTAAACAAAACATCCTTTAGGTTAATATTGTGTTATAAATAACAATTAATGTGTCTAGGCTGCTTGTAATTTAATATATAATTAAACATAATGCACTTATGTTTAAACTTTTTTTAATTAGGATTAATTTATGTTATGTGAATGGAATTCTATTAATAAAACATGTTAAGTAGCAACCTAAACTAGTTTTTTGACTAATTCTACTTGTCTATCTCATACAATGGGTAATTACCATTGGGTTACTAAAAATAATTATACTACAGAAGGATACTGTTTTAAATGTTAAGCTAGACCTATCTAATCATAATCATCATGTAAATGTGAATAATTAATATCATAATATGATTGCAATTAAAATGTGTTATGCGAATGGCAATCTTCATGTATTTCTAAAACTTGTAATGGATTAAATAATTCTTAAGAATATTGTATTTAAAATCCTGGTTGTGCTTGGATTAAAGGTAAAGGATGTACAAGTTTTAATAAATGTTAAAATTTAAATGGTACTAATTAATATGAATGTTTACTTTAATCTTTACAATGTGCTTCAAGTAATGGATATTAGTGCTTACCTTTAAGTGAAGTTAATTAATATGGTTGTACATCTAATACATATGGATAATGCGATAGATTGATTACTAATAAAGGTTTCTGCATGTCAAGTACTAATAATACTTATCCAAATAATACTTATCCTAATTAAACTTATCCTAATAATACATAAAATTCAGGTTGTATATTGTAAAATAATGTTAATTGTTATAAAATAATAGATTCTCAAGAATGTTAAAAATTTATTCATATTTGTTATTGGAATTCTTATTATAATAATTAATAATATTATTGTTAATAATGTATTTATAATAGTTATTATTGTTAATTTTGTGGAGGTAGTTGTTAATATGCAAGTTGCGGCAATTATAACAATGAATAAGATTGCAGTTATGTTTATTAAAATGGCCAAATTATAATGTGTTAATGGTACCCTTAAAATCATTACTGTAGCAATTAAAATAATAATTATTATTATTATGATTATTACAATATAATTCCATTAAATTAAAATTAATGTTACTCATAATCACGTGGGGAATATCATTGGAGTAGTAATAATAATAAAGTTGGAGAATGCTTAAAATGCTCTTTAGATTATCCCCAAAGAAAAAAGAATTAATGCACTTGTGAAGAATTAATATATTAAGGTGATTGTGCATTAGCAGGAGAAAGTTGTTTATGGAATTCATAACTGGCCTAATGTGTTTAAATTGATTGTCATATGCTTAAAACAAGATCTTCTTGTATTTCAAATTATAATTGTCATTGGATTTAAGTAGATGATGTTATGTAATGTTTACCAATGACTAAATGTTCAAACTTACCTGGTTCCAATTCTTATTAATGTTTGGCATATTCTTATAGATGTACTTAGAGTGATGGATAGTTTTGTTAAGAATTATCAAGATTAGATTAATCTAATAAATGTTCATCAATCTAAAATTATACTTCTTGTTATTTGACAATAGGTTCTGATGGTATATGTGCTTGGAATGGTCAAAATTGTTATGCATTATCTGAATGTTCATAAATAACATTCAGCAATTTATGTGGAATTAATAATTATGCATGTTAATGGAATTCTGAGACTAATAAATGTATATCATTAAATTGTGAGAATATTTTAACAGAATCAGAATGCACTTATGTTGATACAACAATAGATAGACATCCTTCTATTTAAATGTGTTATTGGAATAATTCAAGATGTGCCAATGTTACTAGTATAAGTGATACTCTTACATCTTCAAATTGTTATATTAATTCAGGTAGGACATATAGTTGGTCTGATAATAATAGTACTAAAGGCCATTGTGAATCATGCTCTAATGATTATTTGATGAGAGCTACCACTTTTATTGTCTTGCTATTGATTAATTATTGAAGCATTATAAATAATATAAAAATTTAGAATTTTTATTAAATAGATTCTTTTTATTGTTAGTAGTCTTTTAATTTAATAATTTATTAAAAAATAATAATGTTTAATAGACAGTTATATAAAAATCAATTAAGAGAATTCTATTCTTTATTGAATAAAAAAAATCAAAATATTAAATTAATAGATGATTAATTTTAAATTTCAGAATTAAGGATAAGAGATTGGCAAAAAGATCATGAATTAATCTAATATATTTTTATGAATATAAAATTAATAGCCTCTTTAAGGAATCAAGTAGGACACAAGTGGGATTTAATATTAAAAGTAAATTTAATGATTATGTTATATAGATAGATAATATGGATGGTGAGATTATAGATTTGAAATTGAAATTATCATTTATATAAATACATACTTAAAATAAAGAATAATATATTTATATTATAAAATAATAAATAAATAATTCATTTATTTTGTACTTTAGGATGCTTTTCAGCTTATTATAATAAATCTTCTACATCTTTCTAAGAATTATGATAAATATATACAGTTTATTAATCTAAATGTAATAAACATTCACTTAAATTATTGACTATCTAATCCCATTCACATTCTTCCTTTTCTAATCCTAGGATTTTCTCTTATATTTTAACTACATAATTGATTTTACGTTCTAGAACATCTAAATCCTTCCCTAATTATTTAATAGAATCAATAAGTGATTCTTCATCAATATCTAAAAAAAATACATTTAATAATAATACCAAATTATGTGTCTTATTAAGTTAGTTAATCAACTAAAGCAATTAATTAGGCATGTGTTTCATCTTATTTTTTACTGATATTAAGATACACTTTATTCCATTCATTATAATAATTTTCAACTCTTTAAGTATGATTTCTTCGATCCCCTTTTACTAATATTCTTTATACTTATTATTATTATTATTATGGATTAATTCCAAGAGTAATTTGTTATTATTATTGTTAGATATTTTTCAATGAATTCTTTTCAATAAGTTATAAACTTTTTTAATTTTTATCAATCTTCTCTTTATTTGCTATTGCTTTAGTCAAATTTTCAATATGTATTTTAGTTTGTTAATTAATTTAATTTAATGTGTAATTTTTAGGTTATGCAGGTTGTTATTATGTTGTTGGTTAAGTTTATTATGTTTATTATCCTAAAGTTAATGGTTATTATTATTGATTTTATCCAAATACATTGTTTTGTTATGTTTATCCTAATTATAATGTTTATTATTGTGGTTATCCTAATATTGAATTTGGTTATTGCTATTATCCTGTTAATGTTGTTTATTATTATTATTATCCTAAAAGTGGTTATTATTATTATTATTATTATTATGGCTATCCAAATAATCCAGTTTATTATGTATTATTTCCAAAGAGATTAGATTATTGTGTTTATCCAAAAATTCCTTATGGTTGTTATTATTATCCTAAGGGATTTTGATTTTAGCCAAATAAATTGTTGGCAGGTGGAGGATTATTGAAAATTGAAGAAGTTGGATTGCCTTGCTATTATGTTTGAGTATTGTTAGTTCCTTGAAGGTTTCCAAACATTATTAATTTAAATTTTAAGTAAAAAGAAGAAAAATTATTTAACAAAATTGAAAAAGTATACAATTCTTATTTAACACTACTAATAGAAAATTGTAATAATTATTTTTACTTTTTGAGTTTCAATTGTTGATGGATTATGAGTTATTTGTGGATAATTGTTTGTTTAATTTGCTTTATACAATCAATTTAAATTTAGCCTATTTAATTAAAACTAATTACTTGAAAGCAAGGATTATATTTGATATATCCACATTTATTATTTGTAAATGGTTGGGATTCAGTTTGAAAATCTTCAATTTCCATTTAAGGTTAATCAATTGTTGATTTTTTATGATTACCTTCTTAGATATCTTTTAATCTCATAAATCCTTTTCTTCTATTTTTCACTTAAGATTAATTTTCAGAATCTAATTTTGTTAAAATCATATCTTCATATTAATATTCATCTTATTCATTCTAATAATTTTTAATTTTATTATAAATACTTTTATTTCAATACCATCTTTATAAGTTTTCCTTTATAATTTCCAAGGATTTCCACAAAATTAAGGTTCTAATCTTATCTCTATTTCATCAAAATCTAAATTAAGATTTCTTAATGTTGGTTGAACTATTGGCATTTAAGGTAAACATGATTAAATTTCAAGTTCAGGTAAAAATTTATTAAAATTAATTTCCTTATTTAATTAAGTAACTTATCTGAACTCACAATTAATTTATTCTTAGAATCTTATCTAATAATTTTCACTGAAAGCAGCACAACATGTACTTTTTTTAGAAATATGAGATTATCTATTTCTATAATTTTCTTCATCAACCATTTTTTTCACTTTTTATACTTTTGCTTAATAAGCTTTAACTTTCTACATATACAATTAATGATTTGTTTCTTCTATTAAGAATAATAATTATCTAGTTATCTATTATAATTTAATTTTATTATTAATACTTATATGTTCTATTCTGCAAGATTCTTTTTGATACATGGAGCATAATAATTTGGAATTGTTTATAAATATTATAAAAATTTTGATTCTGCAGTTCTTCTAGCATCATCTCTTGTATTTACTAATTGAGTCAATAGTTCAGAATAAATGTAAAAATTTGGAAAATAACTTAAATTTATATAAATCTTTATTACAATCTTAATTCCATTGTATTTTGATTTGATGAAAATAAAAATAAACCAACTAAATATTTATTTATTTATTCATCTCTTTCTTCTTGATAAAATATTGGAAATTGTAATAATTTACTCTTAGATGTTGTTATACCTTAAACATATTTTAATAAAGATGCATTTTCAATTACTATTTCTTAATATGGTATTTATTAAGGTAATCTTGCTTAAAAGGTAACACTGAAATCAATAAAATATTCAGGTACTGATGGATAATTCTATTTACTTAAATTTTCATTACATTAAAATCTGCAATAGGATATTATTCAGGCAAATAGACTTTGGTAAATATATTAACATGAGGAGCACATCTTAATCTAGCTTATGCAAATTATTAATTAATTTTCTAAATAGATCTAACCAACCAAGAATTCTATTGAGGATGTACTTCTATTTTAGTTTTTTCAATAACAGATTAAATATCATCATATTTAATGGTTTAATCTAACATTGTTAATTAAAGAAAGATTTAAGGAGATATTAATTTAGGATCATCTAATATTTAGAAGAGAATGTTGTAATCTTAAATTTCAAAACATACACCTTAACCTATTGAAGAAGCTATGTTATGCCAATTTGTTTATATTTATATTGGTATACTCTCTTCAATACCTGGTGGTTAGATTAGAAATACAAGGAGTCTATAATCCCATCTAATCAATTTATGGAAATCTAGGCCTTAGTATTCTCTATTAGTAAAAACTAATATTATTGATGATTCTATCTTTTAGACATCTCTTCCACCATATAGATTATCAGTTCCTGCAATTTAAATATATATATAAATAACCATTTAATGTTCTAAATTTGTTTAAATTGTGGAAACACTCTTCTAAATTGAAATTGGTCTCAAATTATGGTTACACTGTTTTAACTCTTTGTAAAAAATGGCCTACATCATGTATCCATGTTGAGATCGAAGAACTATAGACAATATGTAAAGAACAAAAAATTACTTAGACGAAAAAAGATGGTATTGATCATACTTATATTCTGGGTTTTTTGTTCTCTTTTTTACAAAATATTCAATAGCACTCTTGGCATAATCTAATATAGTAAGTCCATTATATGTTATTTAACAAGAAGATAAACAATTATCTATCATAAAAGTGAAATTCATTTATAAAGGATGTTTTATTTTATATTTTAATTTATTTATTGATTCTAAAATATAAAAACCCACTATAAATTACATATAAGTAACTATAAATAAAATAAAAATTATATTATTCTACTAATAAATAACTTCTTAATTAGATTAACATGAAATTCTTAAGTTTAGAAGAAATCCATCACATAATTAAAATAAATTCAAATGATAAATGTTTAACTACTGGAATTTTGGAATTTTAATCAAAACCCAATTGAATTTCTTTATTTTGATATCTAGACTATTAGTATAAAAGTAATTTATATTCATATGAATTATGTTATTCTAATAATAAAAGAATCTTATTCATAATTTTATAAATATATTATTATAATAATAAATAAAAAAGATAAGAAGCTTTATGAAATTGTCAAGTTTCATATATTTAATTTATACTATATAAATCCTCTTTTATTTTCTTAAAATAATATATTTCTAATATTTTTATAACATTATAAACATTAAATGAATAAGATTATTAATCATATATTTGAATATTGATATCATCTAGATAAATACTACATGATAATATAGATGATATAATAATTAAGTTATATTAAAAATTTATTTATTTTATAAATATGTTATAACATAAATATTAAAATTTTATAAAAAAATAACAAAATTTTTCAAAGAATATATTCTTAATTTGATCCAATTGTGTTCAAGATTTAGATAAGTGTTAGTAATGTTCACTTATTTTAATATAAAATTATATTTTCTACTTATATTAAATTTTGTTAGATTCATAATTTAATGTAAAATGTTGTTATTATAAGTTAATAATATTATATACTTCATCATTTTAAGAGAATCAAGTATTTATAAATAAAATTATTAGAAATGAACATTAAATTACATAGTTAATTATAAATCTTAAAGTTTAACTATAATATTTAATGTAATTGAATAAGATTTTAATTAGTGAATGTTTCTATATTTTTTGTTTTGAGTCCATTGATAATATATTAAATATTTATATAAATATAAAAATGATATTGGAAGTAAATTCTTTTTTTGACAACCCTGACAATCAAGGAAAATCCACAAAAATCTGGTAACCTATAGATTTAGAAATATATAATGTATTATTCATTTTATAAACAATATTAAGAATGACATCATAGTTTTTTAAGAAGACTGCCACAAAATCAGTAAAAAATAGAAATAACTAAAATCAATCACAATATAATTAGGAAATGAGCATATATATCATATTAAAGACTAAAATATATCATAGATTAATATAACAGTGGCTGTAATGACAACTTATAAGCATGACTAATTTGGCAATATCATTAGAATTTCTCGAAATGGTAAATTTGTTGATTTATAAATGGATGAATATGTTGTATTTAAGAATATGATGGTATTAAGATGTTTATAAACAACATTTCATGATGAATTTGGAGTAACAAAAATGATAGGAAAGGGAAGTTTTGCAAAAGTATATTTTGCTACAAAGAAATCCACAGGAGTTAATTATGCAGTTAAAGCATTCAACAAAGAATTCATGTAAGAGTAATTCAAAGGAAGAGAATCATTAGAAAATGAAATTAAAGTAATGAGACGTTTAAACTAAGAAAATCTAGTAAAATTATATGAGACTTATGAAACTCAAAATTCCATATATTTTATATTAGATATATTAAAAGGAGGTGAATTATTAACTAGAGTCAAATAATCACCTTTGAGTGCTCCAAGTTTATAAAAATTAATGTACAATTTAATGAAAGCATTATGTCATTTGCATTCAAAAAAATGTATGCATAGAGATTTGAAACCAGAGAATTTATTATTAAAAGAGAAAGATAATGATACAGATATTGTTATAGCAGATTTTGGATTAGCTAGTTTCTTAAATGAAGATATTCTTTTTAAGAGATGTGGAACTCCAGGATTTGTTGCTCCTGAAATATTATTGTATAAAGAAGGAGATCCATTTTATGATGAAAAATGTGATGTATTTAGTGCAGGTGTTATCTTTTATGTTTTATTAACTGGAAGATAACCTTTTTAAGGAACTGATTATAAAGGTATTTTAAGAGCAAATAAAAATTGTGAAATTAATTATGATTTAAAATAGATTCTATCTGTAAAATTAATTATGATAATTAATATAGGCACCAATTTAATTAGTAGATTTATTAAAGAAAATGCTTTTTCCAGATCCAAAAATTAGAGTATCTTCAGAAGAATGCCTTAAACATCCTTATTTTAAGGAAATATTTAAGGAATAAGATCTAATAGATGTTTAAGAAAGTCTTAGGGATTATGATAAGGATTTTGTTTATGGATTAGGAAAATAATAAGGGTAATATATTAATAAATATATAATAGTCCATCAAGCTAAGTTGGTTCAATGTAATTACAATAAAGATAACCAGCATTAAATGGAAGAATTGATACTATGGGTTCATTTTCAAATGTATCTAATAATGGATCAGTTACAAGATTAGATTAAAAACCATAATTACAATAGAGTAAATTTAGTTAATTTGGACATGCAAATAAATAATAATAATAATCAGATGCAAGTAAATTAATAGAATATATAGATTCACCTTAAATGAAAAAGAATTTGTAATCAGATTTACGTAAGACAGCCTTAAAAAATTCATTTTAATAATAAATCAATTAATTAAGTAAAGATGATGATTGTGTAAATGATGAAGCTGCTCATTTAGAAGATGCAATATCTAAACTGAATGCTTAGACACCTAAAATGGGAGGATTAAAAAAAGCAAGCTCATATAAAATACCAAAATCATCTATGGAATGAGATATACTATAATCATTAATCCCGTTTGCCTGAAAATATTCTATTTATCATCTTCAATTATTGTTTAGTCTATAAAAATGATACAGGTTAACCAATATTGGGTAATTTTATTTATGTTCCTCTTAATTATTATTTATTAATTGTTTGTTTCAATTACAATTATTACATACACTATTTCTTTGGACAATCAATTTCTTAAACAAAATTGCTCATTGTTTCCCTTTTACTTTATCCACTATGAATTCTTAATGCTTATCTGAAACCTTAACTAGAGTTTCTTTATTAAAAAATTTCAGGAAGTTTCTTTAACTATTTGAAAGGAGGACTCTATTGTTCATCTTTCATCTATATAAATTCATTTATAAATTGAAATTTATCTCCAAAACTAAATTATTATGGATAACTAGAACGTTGATTTATATTAGAACTAAATATTCGATAATTTTTAGATTATCTAACTTCAGAACTTATTTATAATTCTGATCTTTTTCTTATTCCACTTATCTATGGAGGAGTATGTTACCCTTCAACACCAGAATTATCAGAACTTCTCTTGGATGTAGTTCTTAGATATTTATAAATTCAATATTACATCTGTGTTGAAGGATTGGAAACATTACTCTAAACAGGATGTTTTAACAATCTTCTTGTATGAACAAATTTTTATTTCATGCCTTAATTATCAACAGGAAAGAAAAAATTTGCTGTCTTTTCTAACTCATCATTCATTTCTTTTTTATTAAAACTTAATACTTATTTTATTATAAATACTCAATATTCTTATTTATTCATATATTATCTATACATTTTATATTTTTATACGATAAATCAGTCTAAATATACTCTTAACCTCATTAAAAATTATCATCTAATATTTAATATCAATCATCAAACCAAAAAAATGAGAAAACAAAAATATATAAAGTATTATATGATTTATTCTTTATAAGAATAATCTAATTGGATTATTTTGATAATATATATTATTCATAATATTCATTATTTTGGAATTTGTTCAAAGAATTTATTTAATTAATCTGGTGGCAACATTCCTGTAAAATTATTTACTTTCTTTCCATTTAAAAATAACATAACAGTTGGTACTACTTCAATGTTATTTTAATTTGCTAATTATTCATGTTGATCAATATCAATTTTAATTAAAGTTACATTTGGATGTTCTTTTACTTTTTATTCTAATATTGGAGTCAATCTTTTGCATGGTCCACACCATCTTCATCATTAAAAAATAAATTACGTTGCATAAAAATCAACAAGGATTGGTGTGGTAGCTTTTACAACATCTTTCTCCCAATTTGTGAAGTTTTAAATACTACCAAAGCTTTTAATTAACTTGCTTAATCTGAACATAAATAAAATTAAATAATTAATAAAAATTATTATTTTCAAATTGTTTATTATAAGATTAGAAATAATCTTATATTTATTGTAATCATATTGTATTTCAAAATTTATTATAATGATAAATATAAATAAAAGATCCTTTTATTATTATTTTTATCAATACATCTCTAAAATATCATTTATTAAAACTATAGATATTTTATAATTTAGTATTATAAATATCCTTTATTGATTTTAATCAATTCATAATATTTGATACATTTATTTATTAAATTATAAATGATTTATAAATATTTACAGAGTTATTTGTTGTAAATTTAAATTTATATTTGATTTCTTTTTAATTTTAAAATATTAGCCTCAACATAATCTATTTATTTATTTTCTAATTTAATATGTTATTTATAATATAAATATATATGTTGATTCATATTTATGATTCTTCTTCTTTTTCCTTTTCAACTCTTGAAGATTATAATTCAACTTCTTGGACTTAAGTTATTTTTATATATGCTTATGCCTTTTTACATAATTTAAATAAAATAGCAAATAATAAAAGAACTCCTAATAATATAAAAATGGATAATAAATGGTAAGTATTTTAATTTTGTACTAAAAAACTTTAACAATCAATCTAAGAAAATGAAAAACTCTGTTCATTTTAATTGATTGTTAGGTATACATTATTTAAAAAAGTTACACCTAATATTATAGATTTTTTTCTATATATTAGTTTAAAAATTAATACTTTGATTATTTAAAAGGGAGTTATATATATTCTCCTGAATAGTACAAAAATTGATATGGCTAATACTCTAAATAAAAGGTTTAATTTATATATATTTTAATGGCTAATATATCTGATATTATAAATTTGTTTTCATGTATACTTAAATAACCTTAGTTTACAATGCTAAATCCAAATTGCTTGTAATAATTTGCAATTTCACTAATTTTAATTATTTTCATACCTGAAAACATCTTTTGGTAATTAAGTAAATGGATTTAGAGAATCAATTTAAATATTTACATTTTCTATATTTATATTTGAATTGAAACCTAACTATATATGTTTCAATTTAAAAGAATAAACATTTTCATGTTAGAAATATGGTATTGTTATTGAATTGTTTATATTCTTTTATTTTTATTTATGAATAAAACCAAGAGATGAAAAGCACAATGAAACCACATTTGATACAAATGTATTTTATGGAAAAGTAAAATTCTAATGATTTTCTGTCTTATATAATTAAATCGGTACATAGTCTTCTCATTCCAAATCCAATTTAATTAGTATTAATGGAATGTAGAGCTATAAATTCTTCAATTTATTTATTTCCTTAAATGTTTTCAATTTCTAATACTAATTCTTAAAGAGTTCCATTCTAATCTGAATCTTACTAATCTATAAATGTATAACGACAGAATTAATCACAATATTGGCATTGATAATTTATATTGCATTCTTGATTGACTCCATTAATATCAGTAACACTAAACTCATTATTTAAATCAATAACGTATTCCTTATTATCTAATATAATGTAGTATTTCAAAGTTTATTCATTTTATCTAAGTGGGTATGTATCTTTAGGAAGATCAAAAGTTAAGACTTATTAAAATAATATATAAATTATCATTAATAATAATAATAATTAGATCATTTCAAAACCTCTATTTCATTATTCAAAATGAGTTATTATTATGCAATTTTAATATTCTTCTGACGTAAATATTAAGCTCGTATTTTTCTAAATATTCCATATACAAATATTGACATAATTAAGATGAATATTATTTTAAATAGTAAAAAGTCAAAGAGTTTGTCTTTCTCAAAACCTTATAAAATACATTTATTTTCTTATAATTATTCAATAAAAATCTCTTGTGTATCAGTAGAATAATGAATAATCTTATTTCTCAAAAAACTTTGGCCTAAAACAATTTAATTCTTAAATCTATCACCAACAAGTTTTAAGAAATCAAACCCTGAATCATTAAAATTATAATCTATGTAATTTTCAGGCATAATGAGCAAAGGTTAGTTCACAGAATTGTAAAATTTGATTGAACCTAAACTTTCAATCCTTTATTAATTTGCTTCTCTGTAAAAAAAATAATACTACGTATTAAAGGAATCTTCAATAAAGTTCTTAAAAATTGCTTAATTATAAATTCTCATCATCAGCTCTATAGGAATAATGCAATTTTCTATTTCATTATCTAAAATGATTGAATAATTTGATATATCAAAAATTTACTCTTCAAGTTCTAAATACTAAATTGTAATTTTAAAAATAGTTTCTTCGAATTATTTTTACTAAACATAGCTCTTGATACCAGACATATTTAATTGATTCTTCAGTATAGCTTCATTTTAATTTGTTTTTAAATAAGCATCTTCTTAAGAAATGCATAATGAGTAACCAAAATACACAAATGAGTTTAAAGTTGATGCAAATGGACTTAATGTTAAAAAATTTTTGTTTATACCATTAGTTTATTATTCCATAAATGTATGTAAAAAAGAAAGAATTTCTGTATTATAAGAGTGTTTTTCTAGATCATAAATCTAAAACTCACCAAGTTTTAATTAGAAGTATTCATATATTTGACTTTTATCATTGATTGCTCCAGCCCAACAACCTAAGTTGTTATATGGACAATATTAATAATTATTTTCATCTTAAATGTGAGAAACTTGGCCTTATAATAATATCATAGCCTTGTTATACTCGTCTAGCTTTATCAATAGACTATTCTAAAACAACTCTAAAAAATATAAAGAACAAGCAATATTGAGTAAAGTAAATACAATAATCATTATAATATTTTCAACAAGAATTCCAATTTATTATAAAATAATAAACTAATATAATCAAATTTATTTTTATTTGTGTATTTTGAGATATATATATTGTAAAATAGAAATATTTTAGTAAGATTTAAATTGTAAATATGAGATATATAATTTTACTTATTCTTTCAATGACTTTTACACATCATCTTGCAGACTGACTGATTGATAATGTTTATTAATCCAAATCATTTTATATTATATTAATTTGTGTTGAGTATAATAAATAAAATTCAACATTTTTTGTAATTCTCAATTGAATTAACGTTGGTATAAATGTAAGATATTTATTTGATTTTAATGAATCATATATTTATTGTTTCTACATTGATGATCTTTTCAAAATATTATTTGGCAAAATGCAGCTATACAATTTTATTAAATTTTTCAAGTATTTTAATCAAACACTAAATATTTTATATATTTTATAATCAATATTTTGATTAAATTTATTGCTTACTTTTATATACAACAATTCTTGATATAAAATCTAAATTCAAAAAGAATCAAAGATTGACACAAAAGTACAAAGATCTAGCCTTTATAGGGTCTTTAGATAATTGATCTAATCTTGGTTAAACATACGAATACCATTCCTAAACTCAAATTCTATGCTATAGATTTACTTGAATTAGTGTTCCTGTGTCCTTATTCTAATTCAAAAATATAAAAAAAACAGACAGTAACACCTAGAGTATATTTAGGAAACTAGAGGCCGATATTATGTTTAGAGAGAAGAGATATTGATTTACAAATATAATCTTTTGTTTTTCTTGTCAATCTTATCATTGTGCATTTTATTGATCCATTATTTATGAAATATTTTTGAAGTAAACCAATAATTAATGTGTATACTTTTCCTTGCAATAAAAGCAAGATCATCTACTTAGATACTCTTTATCTCCTCTATTAGATAATGAATATAAATATCAAATACGAAAGATCATAATACACAACCTTGAGGGACTCAATTTTTAATGCTATCTTAACTTAATTTAACTTCATATAAAGGCAACTCATAAGATTTTTTAAGAATTTAAATCTTTCATATACTGTACTCTCATGAAATTAATCATTTCAAATAGAGAGGCAAATCGAAAATAGATAATGATTTCTACTTTTCATTTTAATCCCTTGATAATTTGCTAAAAACATGAGAGTTTTCTTTCATAATCTTTCATTATATAATTTAAGGCCTAAATTAGCCTTTATTAAGAATATTTAACTTATAGGTAGGGGTCTATTTTCCAATGTATAGTATAAGTTTCGCCATCTCTTGCTTCCAGATATAAGAAAATATATTAAAGCACTTAACCCTTAATTCATTTTTCTAATATAGAATCGTAAGTTAAAACAAAGTTTTAAGATATATATGGTCATAAAGGGTAAAGATAGATTAGCTATATATTCATTATTTTTTTATATTAGAATATAATATATTTTTCTACAGTTACCTTCGATTCAAACTTGATATTACTGTTTGACTTATGACGTCATAGTTTTGGATATGAACTATGTATATTGTTGACCAAGAATGTATGAAATTCTTTTAAAATTTATTCTTACCAATAAGTTCTTTGTTTTCATATTTATCGTTCATTAATTTATTATTGTTTTTATAAATGTTGTAAGTGGATAAGCCTTTCCTTTTTTGAAATAAACTTAGAATGAATTTTATTTTTCCCATTCATTTTTATTCATTTCCCAATCAGTATCTTAAAGGAGAGTTACATAAAATTATGATATAAATATATACGTCATACAATTAATTGAATAAAGGATCCACATCAGTAATTTGATGGAGAAAAAGCGAATTATATTTTAACCATCAAATCCAATTGTTTTTGAAACTTAATCCCGATCGTATGATAAATCATACTCAATCCCTTAATAGAATTATGAGATGAGGTCTTCAGGGATGTTTGGATTAATAGTGTTTTATAATTATGTTATGCATTAATTCAATGTTTGAATTTTATCTTAATTATTCTTATGAAGGAGTTTAAACAAAATATTACAAATTTAGGTTAGGATATATATATTTTAAACAAAAAAAATGTTGTACTTAAAAGCTAACTTGCACATTTATTTATTAAATATTTTAATTTACTTTTGATTTGATATAAAATAGCAATACTTTATTTACAACCAGGCACTACAAACATAATTTTACTTCACTTAAGAACAATTTGATTGGCTCTAAAACTATATAAAGGACTAAGGAATTCATAGCAAATCTTTTCAAGATTCAAAATTCTATTTCACCTAAACTATCAAAAACACTTTTAATTGATTTTAAAATTAATATTTAATATACTTAATTTATTGTAACCTATCAAACATTAAGATTTGAAATATATATATATAGTTCCTCCTTTATTTATTCTTCAATTTATAAATTTAAGATATTTCCAAATTTAATTAACTAATTTTATTCTAAATGATGAATTATAGTCTCTTAGTTTTGTGTTTGAAGTATCTGTCTTTTTGATATTTTGATTGGCAATAAATATTTTCATAATTGATTTTATATGGTCAAAAATTTTAATTTTAGCAAATGAAATTATAAAAAGATGTAGGTGAAATATCAAAAAAATAATAAAAAATTTAAAAAATTTATCTCTCATACGATTCTGAAGGAATTGGAGGAATACAAAAGAAATGAAATAAATTCAATTAATATATTTTCATTCAAAGTAGATATGCATGTTATCAAATAGTTTTCAATTTAGAGAAATTATTATGTAGTTCTGAATCAAAAAATCTATTCAAAATGCATCTAAAAACAATTGAAATTTATTTGATATTTGAAAGAAGTATAAAATTTTATATGCCAGTATATAAAGAGATAAGTCAAATAGAACCAGAATAATATTTTGTAATTGAATTTTGAAAAGAAAGGAGGATGAGTTAAACATTAAAGTAGATTTAATACATTAGTGAAACAAAAGATTAAGATATCTAAAAATATCTGGAATTATTAGTTTCAAAATAGCAACAAAAAAATTTAATTGTATTATCAAAAAATAGGAAATTTAAAAATAAAAAGAAATTTATTGTAACACAAATTAATTATAGGAAAAAAAAATATTTTAATAGACTTTTATATTCTTAAACAAGCAATATCTTAGTAAAATCTTGAAATTTTTAAACACTTATAAAAGCATTAAATTATTTTGATAAGATTTTTACTTCCACAAATTTTGGAAATCTGTAGTTTTTTTAATTTAAAGGAAATCGTACATTATTTAATTTATATTGGAACTTTTCANGTTGACTACAGAAAATATATCAGCACTTTTATGGCTTTCAGCAAGTTCTTTATATTATAGGAAAAATTAAATTCCTAACAGCCAGACTTACAAATTTAATTTTACTTAACTTAAAAGCAAATTGATTGACCTTAAAACTCTATAAAGGATTCGGAAACATCAGAACTTTGGAATTCATAGCAAATCTTTTCAAGATTCAAAATTCTATTTCACCTAAACTATCAAAAACACTTTTAATTGATTTTAAAATTAATATTTAATATACTTAATTTATTGTAACCTATCAAACATTAAGATTTGAAATATATATATATAGTTCCTCCTTTATTTATTCTTCAATTTATAAATTTAAGATATTTCCAAATTTAATTAACTAATTTTATTCTAAATGATGAATTATAGTCTCTTAGTTTTGTGTTTGAAGTATCTGTCTTTTTGATATTTTGATTGGCAATAAATATTTTCATAATTGATTTTATATGGTCAAAAATTTTAATTTTAGCAAATGAAA